ACAATCAATGAACTCAGACAATATCAAATGGGATGCTACATTAGTAGCAATTAAGCTGTCTGACACATTTTGAAATTGGGCTGCCTGGCATTGCAATACATTGCACACATTGCAATTACGCTATCTGGCACTCAGAGACCAACATGCGTTCAACTACAGCATGAATCATCAGCTTAGCGTTTCACAAAGCAACTGTTGGATATTGATAAGAAAATAATGGCAATGGATAAATCCACTCAAATCGTTACACTGCCAACGGATTTCTGAGAAATTATTTCAATCACAGATGAACTTATTCACAACGTTTTCCCAAAATTACAAAATTACAGAACCGCCGTTGCGCAAAATTACAAAACCTCCAGTGACTTAGTGAACGTGTTATATAAACAGCCAAAAGCTACGACGTGTATGACACCATTAATCGCATTTTAACAGAAATTCCTGGAAATACAAGAGCATATAAGTTCCTCGAAACTGTAATAGAAATATGTAAATCAGAACGAGGTTGTCAGCTACCTAACTGAATTCATTTAATTTGCCCGGCATGTCGCCGCCCATATTAACGTTAAAAATTGGCGTATTTGAATTTCTTCTCCGAAACATCAATCCACTCAAACTTTGTAACTGTACATGTCTTTCAGTGAAAAGAATAATGACAAATATCTTCGAAGCTAAAATTCTAAATGGCAAATTTAAAGAAGATGTTCTGTTATCGCGCCTCTTATTGACCCCGACAGATATGCCATTCGAATTCAAGCGTTTGAAGTTTCCGGTGTGTCTCGCTTTCGCCATGACGATCAACAAAAAACAAGGATGGTCATTGTAAGTAAGTAGACTAAATCTTTAAAATCCAACCTTTTGCCACGGATAGCTCTATGTGACCTGCTCACATGTCGGAAGACCTAATTTACTCATGTACGCTCCGAACGGTAAGATAAAGAACATTGTTAATGCAAAAGCACTTGAATAAACGCGTTTACAACGAACCATGAAACTTTTAAATGAAATAAAATTCGAATTTCCACGTTTCCACAATTTTAGTTCGAGCGTATGCAACTGAAAATGTGTTTGTTTTTCTTCTACTTAAGGAAAAATAATTGTTCTGAGTATATAATTTATGTCTTAACAAACAAATACGAAAAAAGAAATATTGAAACCTGATAAATTGCAGTTAAAGGAGATAGGTGAATGGAAACAAAACTTGTGTGATTGTGGTAGGAGAAAGAGGGTCGAAATGACCTACAGGTGGCGTAGACAGGTGTGCAATACATCGCATGCTTTCACCATTAGAGTGTGGAGAGTCATAGGAGAATTAATTTCTGTCCTGATTTTCAAACAGATAAAATTTTTAAGTCAGGAAACTACGTGGAACTGAAAACTACATTGAACATAGTACTATAGCTCGTTCACTAGGAGTTGACACTTGGCTCCGCCTTCATCACGTGGTATCCGACGATAGGATTTCGCTATTTTTGGGAGAAGGATATGAGTAATTCTCAACAAGGTTGCTATTTGGCGATGGTATGACAAAAATACTTATTTCGGAATTCGATTTTTAAATACTTAATATTTCTTAAATGCCGATATATTTTAAGTTATTATTCGAAGCATCTCTAGTAATATTTAGGATCTTACAGCAACATCATCAATATAGTGTATCATAATTATTTTAATGTGATCGTAAAAACACGTAAATCCGAATTAAAATTCACCTAAATTTATTAAATTTTAAGAAAACAGTAAAACATAAAAACTAATACAATTTACCAATCTTCTGTAAAGATATTTTTAATAGCATTAGATTTGACAACTTAGAAATGCTTTACAAAAATAAAATATAAATCATCATTAACGTGAAGTAACAAAAATTATTATTGAGATTTTTTTCAGTAAAATAAATATGATATGTAAAAAAAAAGTTATATATTTTTTCTAATAATGAGGAAATCTGGTTCAAATTTCATTAATAAAAAATATGGTTTAGTAAATATTCGATTTTTTTTTTTGCAATGAAATCGATTATAAGAAATTAAATATCAATTAGAAACTTATTATGTTATAGCTTATTTATATTTAATGTTATAGCTTATTAATATTTTAAAAAAATAAACAAAAATACTCAGCACATACTTTGCATTCAAAAATGTACGCTGTTGTTGTTACATATCCCCCTATTGTAGGAAAACCTACACCAGGTCCAAAAAACCCCGTCGTCAAGTGAACGTTGCAAGCATATATAATTTATCTACAAGGTGCAAGATTAAATTAAATTTAATCGTCAAAACTATCACTACTACAATCGCTCTCAGTGTCAGAATCAGAATTGATGGAAAAAGAAATATTTTCCACAACTTCTTCGATAATTCCGTCAGTTCCCTCTTTCCCATGGAAAATGTATTCTTTTTTTCCACCTAAGGAAGCAATTGGGACAAAGACGGAACTTTTCTGTTGACATAAAATTCATTAGCTATGTTTCGAAGAACACAGAGATCGAAATTGTTTAAAATTGCTTTCTATAATCAGGACGTTTACGATGTTTTCCCGGGGATGATAACTGTCCATTTGAGATATATTCCTTTTAATTTCGCTTAATTGTTGTTCGTGAAACGCAAGTAGCTGCAGTAGCACGTTTCTGAGCTTGTAAAATTGAAATTAAAATGTTCCCGCTCTGGCTTCATCCTTGAAAAATTTGGTTACATTATTCATGATATTTCTCTCGTTTGAATGAATAGTTTGTCCTTTCGGAGACATTTTGCTGGGAAAATAATAGTTTAAATTTAAAATATATTTAATTAGCTAGAGTAAGAAAGGTGTATAATTAGCGATGTAAGTGACTGAAAAAGAACTCACTGTTTGTGTTTGGCACTCATTAAGGGTTATCTTAATTTCAAACGCGAAGATGTTTCTCCTCCCTAGCTGAAATGAATTCTGCTTCCGAGGAGAGAATGTTGTGGAAATTTTAAGGAATATGTTTGCCAAATTAAATATGAAAAATATTAAGAAAGGGGAAAATAACGTAGTACATTCCTATATAACTGAAAAGAGGAAGAGAGGTGTTATTTATGATTTAGTGGAATGATTCACGAACGATTCAACTTGGTTAAATAAATAATATATTAAGCAAAGAAATTACACATTACATACTGCGATACATTTCGCCGTTCTATAAAAACAAAACGACAACAAAAAAACTGTTGCCACACGGAAATGTAATCATACAAATAATAAATAATTATAACACCCCCCCTTGATTAGATTTCCCTTAGTCCTATACTAAGTTTTTGGTTGTGGAAAGACTTTCTTTGCACACTTTTGGTGAACATGTCTGCAACATTTGACCCAGAAGGTACATAAATAAACGCCAATAGTTTTTCCTCAACCTTTTCAAGAAGAAAAAAATGTCTAAGCTCTATGTGCTTATTTCGCTCAGAAGTTACATGGTTCTTGGCTAAAGAAATAGCACCCTGATTGTCAACATGTACATTCTGTGGAAAGCTTAGAAGCTGTTCATTTACTATTTCTTGCAAGAATTTTTGGAACCACAATACCCCCTTTGCAGCATGGCACATTGAGAAATATTCGGCTTCAACAGTTGACAGAGCAGTTGTCCTCTGTTTCTTGCTGCTCCATGAAACAGCTCCACCTGCGAGCAATACCACATAGCCACTGAAGGAACGTCTGTCAATCTTATCATTAGCCCAGTCTGAATCACAAAATACCTCAAGTTCTTTCCAGTCTTTTGGAAAGTCAGTTTCAAATCTTTCGTCTGCTTCAGGTAACGCAATATATGCTGCACACCAGCCCAATGTTCTTTACTTGGGCAGCTATTGAATTGGCTCATATATGTTGTGGCAAAAGCTAAATCAGGTCTTGTTCCCCCTGCCAAGTACAAGAGGCCTCCAATAACCTGCCTATATTTTAAAGCTCCTTCTGCATTCACCATATTGTCTTCGGTTGCCTGTCTATATTTCGTGCCTGGGTCTAATGGTGTAGAAGCTCCCTTGGCATTTAACATGCCAGTTGTCTCTAGTAGTTCTTTACTATAAGTATTTTGGTCTAGAGTCATGGAACCATCTTCATTTCTGGTTATTCTGATAGATAGTAGATGGTGTATTTCACCCAAGTCCTTAACTTCAAAAACANTTAACACCATCATAGCACAATTATTTGCCTTATTAAATTCTCTGAGATCATCCTTATATTTCTTTTTGATAGTTTCAGAAGCTGTTGGCTCAGGCAGTTCTGGCTTGTACATCTTTCCTTCAACAACTTCCAGAGCATCTGCATGATAATTCAAAACAAACTTAATTCTGTATTTCCAGATTGCCCAATCACTTTTACCACTTAATGGTTTCACTTGGATTTTTCCTTGATCCATTACTTAAACTAACTGCAATTGCTGACTTTCGGAATATGAATTAACTTAGCACTAACACTTCCGCTTAACTATCGCCAAACTCAATTATTTCATTATTTTAACTTCGCATAAATAGCTTGCTGGAGCCCATAACCTGTTATTTATGATTTAGTGGAATGATTCACAAACGATTCAACTTGGTTAAATAAATAATATATTAAGCAAAGAAATTACACATTACATACTGCGATACATTTCGCCGTTCTATAAAAACAAAACAACAACAAAAAAACTGTTGCCACACGGAAATGTAATCATACAAATAATAAATAATTATAACAAGAGAAAAGGAGGGAAGGTCGAAACATGGAACCGGTCTTCTCCCCAGGTGGCGTATTCGAACGTTATGATCGCTAATTAGTAAGTTAAGCGATAGTGAAATAGTTAAACCTGATTTCATCTCCAGTCAATGCGGAGAAAAAGGGAGATCTTAATTGCTGAGCTCTTCATGGGAAATATGTTTCTCCGATCAGGCTCACACTCTTGATAGTGAATAGAACTGTGTAAATTATATGCAGTGAGAATGGCCCTGCATGCCGTGTTGAAGTTGCGCAAATGTAGCAAAGACATTCGTGCTGGTGTAGTGGCCGAGAGAGGCAGATTTGAACTCAGCTTCTGACATTATCAAACAACTCAACCCAAAAATTGTTTTTATTTGTAAACTTTTATGCTCCCTTCCTTCAGTATTTCAAATAATTTAGTCTTTATTTTAGTATCACTATGCCAAAGCACGGCTTTCTTGCACCAAAAGCAATTGCTAATAGAATCAAAGCGAAAGGACTTCAAAAGTTGCGATGGTACTGCCAAATGTGTCAAAAACAATGTCGTGACGAAAATGGGTTCAAATGTCACACTATGTCCGAATCTCATCAGCGACAACTTTTATTGTTTGCTGATAATCCCGATAAATATATCGACCAATTTTCACAAGAATTTTTGGATTGTTTCGTAAAATTATTAAAACGACGTTTTGGGACCAGAAGAGTTCACGCCAATCAAGTGTATCAGGAATACATTGCTGATCGTGAACATTTGCACATGAATTCAACACAGTGGGAAACACTCACCGATTTTGTTAAATGGCTTGGACGGGAAGGCCATTGTGTTGTCGATGAAACGGAAAAAGGTTGGTTTATCAGTTGGATTGACCGGGATCCTGAAACCATCAGGCGCCAAGAAGTTCTTGCCAAACAAGAAAAAATGAAGCTTGATGATGAAGAAAGAATGCACCAGTTATTCGAGAGACAAATGCAGAAAGATAAAGAAACGTCAAAGCCACAGCCAAAAGTGGAATACACAGAACTTAAAAAAGAGAATGAGGATGAAAAAATTGCATTTGCGATGAAACCTGTGAAAATAGAAAAGAAAGTAACAATTGATGTTAAAAATAATCCTTTAAGCGCTACTTTAAAAACTTCAGTCAGGGACTCTACTAAGAATTCTGTGGGAGAGAAACGTAAACTAGCTTTGGAAGAGATTATCGAGCAGGAAAAAGCTGCTATGGAGAAAAAGAATAGAAAAGATTATTGGTTAACTCCAGGTATTGTTGTTAAACTCATGACACATAAATATGGTAAAGAATTGTACAAAAAGAAAGCTGTTATTCAGGAAGTGAAGAATCGATATGAAGCTGTTGTGAAAATTATTGATTGTGATGAAAAGTTAGACGTTAAACAGGACGATGTGGAAACAGTAATACCTACAGTGGGAAGAAAAGTGCTTATCTTGAATGGCTTGTACAGACATAATGAAGCTAAAATATTGGATGTAAATTTTGACACTTTTTCAGTTAAAGTGCGTCTTGTGTCGGGATCTTTTAAGGGAAAGACTATTGATAATGTTAAGTATGAAGATATTTCAAAATTGTATGTGCAATCATAATGAGTGGATGTAGATAATTTTTACTGTACATATTTGATTATTTAATTTATCTTAGTTTTGAATATTTGTAAATAATTATGTTTTCATATTTCCATATAAAATGATACCTAATCATTTTCCATATCATTTTATAAAAATTACAGATTATTGTAGAATAATATATATTTTTTAGGGTAAAATAGGGAAATTTTGTTGTAGGCCAGAAGTAGATCTTTTTAAAGTGGCCACTTAAGTGAACATATGGACACTTTTGTGAAAACTAAATATTCTAAATGATTGTTATCATAAAGCATTTCTCAAAATATAGAAACAGTGCATGGTTCATTTCTAAAATGAAGAAAAATTTTCCTGCCTTCTTTAAGTAGGTTTATATTCAGTGTAAGTATTTTATATAAAGTTTTCAATTAAGAAAAGTTAGGGTTTCTGAACTAATAATAAGATACACAATGTATTTAGGAGTCTGTCTAGGTTTTTCTGAGAGGAACCTATTTTGTGAAAATTGAGACATAATTTGTGAAAAATTATATTAAAAAATCAACACAAAAATGTGATAAAAATATGGATTTATTGTTTCTTAAGAGATGCAAAAATAAAATTTTAAGAAAAAGTATTTTATTTTCCTAGAGTTGAATTTGTGAAGGTTCCGCAAAACGGTAGTAAATTCGGCCAGGACAGACCCCTGGTATTGGTTTCAAAATAAATCTGAAATAATTATAATGATTTAATTACATTAGTTAGACTTTTTATAAATATTATCGCTCATGAAACAATATAAAATTAATTGGAACTCAAATGCAATTTTTGGTAGAACAAATTCAAATAGTGTGTGATAATATGAACCTGTAACCTGAACTTTCCAGTGGTAATTGTACAGGGTTTATTTTCATCAACAAAAAAGTGGGGGTCAGATGATTATTAGGAAATAAACTAATTATTAATCACTATTTTTAATATTAAGTCGTCTGAGAATGACCATTAATTATGGCCGTAAGGAATTTTGTTCTTTACTTTCATGGACTGACAAAAGTTATAAAATCATAATAACCAGCTAAAAGAAACTTTTTTATATTCTTGTGCAAAAGTGAAACAATACATTTTTATTAAAGCCAAAAAAAGTGAGGGTTCAAATGTTTATTAGGTAATAAAGAAATTAATAATTTTAAATTAAGTCGACTGGGAATGACCATTTGTTATTGATAATTGGTCACTTGTAATGTATTTTGTTCCCTCTTTTCATGGACTAACAAAAGTTATAAAATCGTAATAGCTAGCTAGCTAAAGGAAACTTATTTTTCTTCTTGTGCAAAAGAGAAGTAATAGATTTTTCATAAATCTGTTAGAGCATTGTTTCCGAAACTTATGACTTTTGTGTACCACTAATAAAAAAATAAATGTATTTCTTACTATGAAAAAATTTCACAAAAGTTAAAAATCACAACTGGCTGTTGACACCACTAATTATTAACTGTTAACTCTGCAAAAAATAGCCAATAGAAAAATACGTAATCGTAAATTTTCATGGCTAGCTTTGTTTTGAAATAAAATGTTCTGAAATTTTCGCTCGTTGCAAGATATTTCACATAAGAACGCGTACCCTCGCTAAACTGTTCCCGTACCCCTGGGGGTACGCGTACCACACTTTGGGAAACACTGTCTTAGAGAATAGAAAGTGCTTTTGGTTCAAGTAGAATATTATGTTCCATTTATTATTTCTAAATATGGTTCATAGAAATATTACTAAGAAGAATTCCCACACTCCATACATTTATTTCAAAATATGCTAAATTATAATTTGGCAAAATGTATGTTTTTTTTCCCTTCCATTTTTAAATTGTGTGTGTTGTAATATGGAATTTAAAAAACAAGGTAAAGGTTTTAAAGTAACTATCGTGACATCTGCCTGTAAAACGTAAATAATATATTACAACCAAGCCTGAAGATATCAAAGATATAATCTGAAGATATCTACAATACAAACTAGCTCTAGAGCACTGCAAATTGAGCATGTTAAAGTTTTTATTGATAAGCGAAATAGTTTTCAACTTGAGTCAAATTCACCTGTGTGATACAAAAAAGTTATTTTACTTTACTTATTTCTTTCCTACTTATTTTATTTTGAACTTTTATTATAGGAACTGCGTACGTGCCAACTTTTACACATTTGGCATAAAATTTTATTTTTACATTTAAAGTGGTAGTAAAATGTATGTTTGCTATTAATTCTTTGCATTTATAAATTAAATTCAAAATGATTTAGACCACCACTACATTTAAATAAATTCTACATCAAGGGTGTCAAACTCAAAAGCTAACTTGGGCCAAATAAACAATGCTTAACTTTAGGTGGGCCGCAAAAAAAAAAAAAAATCAATGCTCATAGAAACAAATATTTTTATTTTGAATTGTAATAAACATATATAAAGTTAAATTTTTGTTTACGTCCTGTACTTGACATCTCTTCTTTGCTATTATCTTTTCTATTTCGGGAGAGATTTTATTGGCCGAGACTACTTTCAAAATTGACCCAGCGTGAGCGTTATTAATACAGTTTCGGACAGGAGAATTATTTCCATTCATAACAGAAAATAATTGCTCTCACTAATAAGTACTTCCAAGCATGGAAATAATTTCCCACGCGAATTTTCAAACGTTGCTGGTAAATATTCGTGAAATTCAGGCACACCCTCATTCTCAACCACTTCCATTTGCATGTAACTGGGTACTGAGTCTATATTTATTGCGAAAATCGAAGAAAACAAACAAAATTTGTCTTCCAAAGAATTAAAATCTTTAAACCTTGTTTCAAATTCTGCTCTCAGATTTGAATTTTTTTTCGGCGTATTTTTGATACGATGCAGTATCATCTAAACTAGATTTGTTCTCGTTGCACGTTGGGAAGTGCGTTAAATCTTCATTTTCCAGTTGCCTTTCCCAAAGAAATAGTTTACATTTGAATGCTTTAATTATGTCAAACATGTTCGTAATGATCTGATCCTTGCCTTGTAACAATACATTTAAATAGGATAAGTGTTTGGTTATATCAACCATAAAAGATAAATATTGATCGGAGAGCAAGCTTGTATCTTGATTTATAGTATATAATTTTATATAATTATTAAATTATATCATTTTATATGCTGGTTTCGTTTTTAATTCACATTTCTATTTTATTTTTACTTTGCTTTGGATATATTGACTGGGTCACAAAAATATTCACCTTGGGCCGCATGCGGGCCGCGAGTTTGACACCCCTGTTCTACATATATATAAATGTATAATAATCTCGGTTTAAGCTTTTGTCAAATGCATAGTAAATTTTCGCCTTTGAATGTAATTTAATTTTAATCTTACTACCACTGAAGTAAATCATCGTTGTAGAAATTACAGATTGACAGTTATGAAACTGTGACAAAAAAGATTATAATGTTTTTAGAGAAATCAAAAATTCAAAAATGTATTTCACAATCAAATTTAGCTATATTTGTTACGTCTAATGAGCAGCATTATTTTTAAATATTTCTTAAAATCAAGAAAAGTAGTTTGGGTCTTAGGAAAGATACTGACAAAAGAGAAAAGCTTAAAGTATTGGTTACCTGTGCATAATCAAACAGATTGATCCTTTCTCATACGACCATTCATTACAAGCGATAGATAGGGAAAGCAATGACAGGAGATATCAAATAATGATTTGGAAAATATATGTAAAGTAATAAAGATGAAAAGGATTTCAAACTTAATACATTTACGAAAATTTAATTAGCAATATCAATATAAAAGACATGAATAAACACATTTATTTATTTAGAAATTTTGATTTAAGCATACTGTTTTTTTTCTTGACCTAGGAATAAATTTTCAACATTTGTTATAGAGATGAGACGAAGAGTGATTTTACCAATTATTCGGCCAAATAGCAAAAAAAAATTTAAGAATCATTAATTAATATTTTTTATATAGAAATAGGTTTAGTCATTATTGAAAAATAATCAAAACTTAGCTGTATTATTGGTATGGGCTAAAAGAAAAAAAAAACTTCTAGAAATGTTTAAGATAATAAGGATTATTAGATAATTCGAAATATTTAAGATAAAAAAAACTGACCAACAGCTATCTAAAAAAAACTGAAATTAAAAATAGAGAAATAAAAAAATATCCTAACAATTCTTAAAACAAACCTTTTATGTTAAAAATGATATTTTTGCGGGGGAAAAAATTATCTATGACACGTTAAAACAATTAATATGAATCAAAAAACACTTTTAAAAATGCCTATAAAAAACAAAGATTACATACAAAAAAAAAACGAAAAAATAAAAATCTATCTTAATTTTTTAAAAGAAAAATTTTAAATCTAATTATAATACCTACCATACATTCAGTTTTCTAATTACCATATTTTCAAGAAAAGTGAAAATTAAAATCTAATATGGACACTCTTAATTGCTGCATCGTAATAAAAACATACATTTTTTTTGAAAAAGAGAAGGCTAGATAGGAAGCAAAACAAAAATTGTTCTTAATTTTAAACAATACATTTAACGCCAAAAAACTTAATTTACCTTTTCACATTGCTGTATTTTAAGAAAAAAGGGACAATAAAAGAAAGATATTAGAAATGCTCTGTTATTAGAAATGCTTCACTTTAGATAAAACAAAACAACAAAAAGTTCTCAATTTTTCTGATATAAAGTATTGAAAAAAATGATAAAACTGGCTTGCCTGAATATAATTAAAAAAAGAAAAAAATCAGCATTAAAAAAACTCATAGTTGAGTATAAAGTAATCTACCTTCAGTTCTTCAAATTTCTGTTCTCCATATGTCTCTCAGTACTTAAAAATATTTGCTTCATTTAAAAATCACATATTGAGATTCATGCTCATACAATTTAAATAAAATTATGCATAGATATTTTTATTAAAAAAAACATTGATGTCATTCTGGGGATAAATGCATCATCACTTTTTTCTTGTCGATATTTCAGGTACATATATATATATATATATTTCATTTTTTTAAAAAATGTTTTTGCACATAACATTTTTAAATTTATATTTTCAGCTTTTTTTTAAAATCAAGCTCATTCCTGTGGTATGAACCAATATAAATTTCTATAAGAATTGAACATTTTAAGAAAAAAAAAATCAGGATTTTCAAACAAATTTCACCAAAATGAGGTAACAACGAAAAGATTGAAACTTGGTTACAAGAATCGAGCGCAGAAAGTTTTTTAATTCAGATTTTGTGTTTACAGAAAGTTTTTTTTTTATTTTATCTAAGTCTGGTTGCATCATTGCTATGAGAAAACAAACAATATAGCCAAAACTAGAAAAGAAGATAGAATCACTAATTTCAGAAGACTAAACGAAATAAGAGATCTAGCTTCATCATGGGATCCTTAAATCTTCAAATATTTTTAACTATCTTTCTCACTTAAATAGTTGAAACCCAGAAATATATAGGCAGTGGATGTCCTCTACAAAATTTTCATGTGGTTTTAGTCTTTCAAGATTTTTAAACAACTTTTGTAACAATTTTTCAATATTTATTTTTTATATTTATCCATGAGTAAACAGAGAGAAAAATTATATAATCTAACAAAAACAGCAATTTAAGAAATTAAACGAAAATAAAGCATCTACCATTATGCTTTTAAAACACTTGCTAGCAGTTACTGTTGGACCAAAAAATAGTTTGTCGGAAAGGAAAAAGATGATTTTTCTATTTATCAAACTGTTTCTCTTATTATTACTTATTAATATTGTTTATGGAGTTAAGAAAGATAATCAGAAATTAGCTGCTAAAAATTTTTGTTAGTTTTAAAAATTTTTACATTTAGGGGGAAGGAATCCTACATTTCGGCAATTTTACTTAAAAATAAAGATTACAAAGCTAAAGATCTATTATTATTTGAAAAATAATATTGGAAACAATACAAAACCCTACGTAACTCAAGGCAATGGAATTGATTACAATAACAAATATCGTGCGTCGCAATAAACTTGATTGCAAAGAAAAAGATATAGGTAAAAAAGCGATGAATAAAAAAAACTGAAAAGTGGAAATTCGTGGAGGAATCCCATTTTTGATGAAAATAGATACCCAAATATTAAAAAAGAACCATTGAAGAAGTTCCTATATATAAAATTGAAACTATAGTATATCCATTTTTGTGCTCAATGTTTCATATTATTTTTGAACTGTCATATTTATCAAAATTGTGGAACTATAAAAGCTTAAGATGCATTTTATGACTTACTATAAAAGCTTAAGAGAAACTTTTCATGGCTAACTTTATTTCACTACGTTTGATATTTTAACATTTAGGCAAAAAGTAAACCTAGAATAAACAATGAAGTCGCCAATACTGAAAAAATGCTCTCAGAATATCAAAATGCAGACAAATTATTGCAGGATAACTTTCCACAGCATAATACAGTGAAACCTCCAGGAAAGACCACCACTACTGTGTAGGGACCTTTACTATTTGTGACCACTTTCTGAAGGTATAGAATTTTTTCCATAGACTTAGTATTGAAGAGAGACTACCAAAACCTCTCCCAGCGACCAGGCAAAGCTTGGCACCAAATGTGAAAAGGTCAAATATGGAAACACGAAAAAATATCAAAACAACACAAATTAGATTCAAATGTATTCAAAATATTTGTAAGTGGCTCTTATTTAAAGAGTTTTTTTTTTTTTTTATTACAATCCCTGAAAGAGATCGACAACTTTAGTGCACTATAGACAAGGCTATAAATGACTTATTATATATCAGAGTTGAAAGTTAAATTAGAGAAAAAAAAAACTATTTCAGAAAAACCTTTCAAAGCAAACTAATTTTTATGATATAAAATTAAATGAAAAATTAAGCAAAAAAACATACTTCTTTATTTACTTAAAATAGTTCTATTTTCCATAATTAATAAATTTTTTTACTCATAATTATATCAGAAGAGGTAATTTTTATAGATGCTAAATTTCATTCATCGATCTTTTATTCATGACGGCAGCACAACTAGCATTTCTGCACACAAAAAATTTACTCTGAGTAAAATTAAAATCGCTTGCGAAAAAACATGTTCCTGATATCAAACAAACCTTTGATAACACTTTTAAGTCACCCGAGAACAACTAACCTCCATTAATGACGATGTTACTGTGGAACTGAGAGTGGTTGCTCCAGAGAGCTTTCACTGTACTGCCATAATTAATTTGCATTTCGATGCATTTTTTTAAAGAAAAAAAATTATCATTTGAAACTTTATGATTAATTTCATGGAAGAGAATTCCTCCTGCAAAATAGCATAATGAAGTATTGAAAAACATTTCTTTTTCTAATATTGCAACAAAATAAATAAAATATATTCAAATGAGTGAATTACAACACAAATTTTAAAAAACATGATAAAAAAGATATTTATTATCAAATATAACTTTTAAAGACCAATTAGAGTCTGTAAAGAAGTTTTTAAACTTAACACAGTTTCCTCTGGAAAATTTTCAGGAAATCTAGAAGAAGCTCTATCTGCTTTGGTTATAATATTTTGCAAGGAATATTTAGCTACAGATTTTTGTTGTTGTTTTAAAGAAGCTTCTTCCAAAAGCTCTACATAAGCTATACAAAGATCAGCAAATCTCAAAGCAGAATTTAGAGTTAAATTGAAAGCATTAATTTCTTCCTCCCATTCTGAATTTTGAATACAGGAGCGAATTGCTTTATGTTGAAATGTTACAGCTTTATCCAACACATCTTTACTGTTTTTAAAGTCTGTTCCACTACATTGCAAAATAGAATACAGCTCCCATAATTCAGCTTTATTTGTAACAATCGAAGTCAAACGACCAAAGAGTTGGAGTGATTTGTCCTTGAGTCTCGATGAAGGTGAGTCGTGTATATCTGGTAAATTCTTATCAATAGCATTTACCAAAATCTTTAAAACTTCTGCATCTATGTGCTTGTTTTTTAAGTCAAGCAGGCGGTGATAGGATCTAATAACATCTTCAAAAGCCCCAACATCAACACTAACAATTAAGAAATTCTCCCAAACTTTCCATTCTTCATAGTTGCATTTTAAAGCTTCTTGGAGACTCCTCCAGGCTCGTTCCTTTTGTTTCAATTTAATGTAGGCATTTGAGAGATTATTCCATGCTTCAAAATTATCATTATCAAGCAGAACTACCTGACGATAAGAACGAGCAGCAAGCTCATAGTCCCCGACTTCTGTTGCCACATAACCTAAAGTAAACCACACAGTAGGTTGCAAATGATTTACATCTGTTGAGAGAATGAAATGAGGAATGCACTTTTCATAATCTTTCCTTTTAAGGTAATAGTAACCCAAAGCACGCTGAGAGCGGGAGTTTTTCTGACCCGATAATTCCCAGGCTTTTTTATAATTCTCAGGATCATCTGTTACATCTCCAAGGTAACACCAAAGGACAGGACTTTCTTTCTTAGCAATCAATCTTTCCAGAACTTCTACAGCTTTAACAGTCATTCCAAGCTGTTTATAACAGACAACAGCATCTTCCCAGAGATGTAATCTTTCAAATATATCTAATGCACTCTTAACAGAGCCTATACTTATTAACAGTTCAGCTAATAGTTTCTCTAAATTATATTTAAATGGAAAAGATGTGCAATATAAACCTGTTTGTCTAACAGAAAAAGGTGGCTCGTCTTTTGTTGCAGTATTTATCAACTCCTCCAATTGAGTAAGAGAGCGTTCAAATTTTCTTGTAGCTGCTTTTTCAACCTGGCATCTAAGAGTTAAAGCTTTGAATTGTACAGACCAAAGTCTGGGTTGCGATAAAAGAAAATTGACATATGACATAATTTCTTCCTGTTTTAGATCAGTTGCAGCCATTTTTTTCTGCATTAAGCAGCAGTGAGCCAAAACTACAATTTGTTCTTCTGGTAATGTTTCATCTGTGTTATTATCTTCAATGTTAACATATTCTATTTTATTTAACACAGTATCATCTTCTAGGGCCAAATCTTTAGGAAATTTATCACTATTAGCTAATTGATTCGTCACACTATCATTTTTTGTAGTTTTTACCACTAATTGTGCAACAGGTTTTGTTTGGAATCGCGTTCTCTTTCCAACGGCTCCACTCAATTCAATTTGCAAGTCCAACTTATTACCTGCTTCATTAATGCACATTTCAGCTGAGTTTACTTCATGGTAATGTAAATGTATGTGAGCACATTCAGTCAAAAACATAATCAAAGCTAATGATTCTGCTTTATCATTTAAAAATTCCATTTCCCTCAGCTGTTTTATAAGTACTGATATCAAGAGGTGCAAATCTGGAATTGTTTCTTGAATAATTCTTTGCTGCACCATAAGACAACGAATTAGCCACCATTTATGAGTAAGACATTGGCTGAAAGTGTCTGCAGAAAGTAATAAAAGACTTGAATACAATAGTTTAGGGTGCGATATTTTAGTCATTATGGTTTCGCCGTTTCTGCTCAATACATCTAAAACACGATCATTTGTATAAACTTCCACCGGAAGCAAATCAGATAGGACTGCAAAAGAAGCTTCTTCTGGTATACTTGGTCCACAAAGATTAGCTCCAACGAATTCTTGCAAGGCAGCAACAGCAAGTAACAATAAGATCAATTGCTTAACGTAATTAAAGTCATTCATTGAGGAATGGATTACATTACTGTAATTAGATTTGATTTCTCCATTTTCAAAACTAAATTCAGGAGTTTTTTCAGCACAAAAAGTCACTAAAGGTTTCAAGAAATTAATGTTCATATTTAAAACATCCTTGTAGTTATGATTAATAATTTTTTTGATGAGTTCGCTTAATAACAGGCTATGTTCATCTTTACTGCTTAATAAGAGCTTTATTAAAGCCTCAGTAAAGTTATCCTCGGTAAGAATTCCGAGAGTCAAGTTTATTTCAAACTTTTTTAGTTCATCTTTTAATTGACTATTATTTAAATCCATAGTTATAATATTCTAACTAAGCATTTAACTCAGAATTTACACACGGCACGAGTTAACACAATGTTTATTTACAATTTCTAATTCTCCGTTGCCACTCATAAACTAATAAAAAATTACTAAAAATTCGGATGCCGAGTAAATAAGAATCTTTATAAAGCTTATCTTAAGTACAGTAAATACAGATGTCGGTAAAAGTTAAATTCGTCGTAAAACCTCCGGGTTACTACTTTTAAAATATTTTTATGCCTTAACTTAAGAAAGTGAGCTACCGAAGGGTAATCGAAATGGGTTGTAGGTGGCGTACAGCAGAACTATGGCAACACTTCACATGCTTTCCCCATTAGCGTGTGGAGAGTCATATAGGCAGGAAGTACGTTAGTTTCTATCCTGATTTTCATATGGATTAAAATCATTTAAGTTGAAAAACTATATGGAACTGAAAGCCACATTAAACATAGCTGTAAAGAAAAGTATCACGGAAATTTTAAAAAATATTTTTATTCAATAAAAAGGAAAAATATTGTTGTTGTTAATTTACGTCGCACTAGAGCTGCACAATGAGCTATTGGCGACGGTCTGGNACAACAAAAATTTAAAAAAGGTGATTTTAGAATTTTTTTAATCTTAATCTTAACAAATTTTATTCCTAAAAATAATAGATAATTTTTCAAAAAATAAATTGTCGAATATATTTTGGCATTATAGATAGATATAAGAGTAAAAATATCTTTTTGTCTTAGAAAATAAAAGATGAAATTTTCACATTTAAAGTATGAACAGAAAAATAAAAAAAATAATAAAAATGTTTCTTAATTATGCATCTAAATTTAACTGCAACTTAATAATAATTCAAAAACGATTATATCGACAAAATTTCCGCTCTTCATATTCCATGCTTTTTATTACCCACTTATATTCTACCCAACTCAAGAGACAAGTGAAAATAAATGAAATTATGCTTCTTAATTATGCATCTAAACTAATCAACTACTTTATAAAAATTACAAAACCGATCATATTCTAAAAGCTTCAGTTCTTTCAAATCTCTGATAGAAAATTGCATAGCGGATTAAAAATAAGCATACAATTTATAGTAATTCTTATTTAAATTTTATACGATTTAGTTATAGTAATCTTTTTTATTTATTTGGCACTAATCTCAGTCATAACTCACCAATTTTTTAAGGAAAAAAATTCCATTTTTTTTCTGCAGATATTTTGAAAATATTACGAGGTATTTAAAATAAAAGTTAATAAAAACATGGCAATAATTATACTTAACATATTATGGCTAAGAATACGCAAAAATTTGGAACAGAAAAATTTTTCACGTTTTATTTAAAGTCGTGCAAGATTATTATAGATTTTATTATAAGTTCTGCTAGAAACCGAAACTAATTATTTAATCATTTTATTATATGAAACAATAAATTTGTAAGAGAAAAAATTATGTCTGAAATATATTCATAAAATATCTAGGTAAATGATTATAAAAAATCATAAAATATCTGGGTAAAAGTAATCTTTGAAATCGGAAATCTAATTTAATCCCAGCGTTAAACGCATCCTATTCGAACGTTCGAATCGCTTTCACCAGCAAATTGTTAGGTGAAAGCTTTCCGATAGATGGGAGGAAAAATGACGATCGCAGCCCGTTAGCAAAATCCGTTCGAAAGCGCGAGGTTTCAGGTTTTCCCTAGGAGTAGAAACGTGACGTCAAAATGACGTCATTTTTCTCTTCCTAGCTCGTTCGAAGTCTGCGAGGGTTATCGAAATGGGTTGTAGGTGGCGTACAGCAGAACTATGGCAACACTTCACATGCTTTCCCCATATAGGCAGGAAGTACGTTAGTTTCTATCCTGATTTTCATATGGATTAAAATCTTTTAAGTTGAAAAACTATATGGAACTGAAAGAAACATTAAACATAGCTGTAAAGAAAAGTATCATGGAAATTTTAAAAAATATTTTTATTCAATAAAAAGGAAAAATATTGTTGTTGTTAATTTACGTCGCACTAGAGCTGCACAATGAGCTATTGGCGACGGTCTGGGAAACATCCCGGAGGATGATCCGAAGACATGCCATCACAATTTTGATCCTCTGCGGTGGGGATGGCACCCCCGCTTCGGTAGCCCAACGACATGCGCACGAAGTCGAGCACTTTACGGTAGCACAGTTTAACGAGGACCAATACCGCACTCCCTCGGTCCCTACGCAGACTGATCCAAGTGGTCACCCACCCGCACACTGACCGCAGCCAGTGATGCTTGACCTCGGTGATCTGCTGGGAACCGTGTCTTAACGATCAGTCCACTGCGGGACGGAAAAAATATTAAGAAAGGAGAAAATATCGTAGTAAGCAATACAGAAATACTAAATAAAATTATATTAGCAGAATTAATTCTGCTACCATCCAAAGTATATCTTATGTTTAGCTGATTTTTTTGAATATTTCAAATTTATTTAAGAAATAATACTATATCACAACTTTTATTAATTTTGATATTCTTTTCTTATCTTCATACAATGGGTTTTCTGATGAATTTTATATCATTACTAATTTTCAAGTCTTTTAATTTTAAAATGCACTCTTATTTAATATTATTTTTTTTAGGAATGAGCTTATTTTATCAAAATCTCAATTGAATTTGTTAGTTTGTAAAATATAGTTTATAAAATTTGTAACTTAAGCCATTTGCAATTTCACAATTATCATTCATAATTTATATCTGAAATTGTATAATAAAAAAAACATACTACATAATTGCAAAGTTAAATTTACATTTGAATTGAGTTGAAAATTTACCAATTTTTTTCCTTTAAAATATAACTGTGATTCATTTCCGAAAATATTAAAATAAAATTACATCTCGAATTTTTGATACATGTATTTCATTAAATATATATACAAGTTACACGTTGATGCCAATTCAAGTTTAGTTTTCAGGGTCAAATAAATAAAACTAATTCATCTCTGTTGTTAAAATAATTGAAACAAGTTTCCTTTCCTTTTTTTAAAAATCATGTTTTCATTATTACCAAATTTTTCTTTGTGTAAAAATTCTTTAGTATCATTTTGCTTTAACTTCTAAATTTAAAACATACTCTAACTTATTTTTAAGCAAGATTTGAATAAAAAGCAAAAATAAATAAGTAAATTAAAATTCATAACCTCAATAGTCTCTCTCTCTTTTCCGCTTAAAAATTAACTTGGTGTTTTACTTTGATTTTAAATTAAGCAACTATATTTTTCATAAATAATCTAATAAAAAAATTATAACATAAACACAGAAATTTAAAAACTAGTAATTATTTAATTTTAAGAAAAGAATTTCTCCTCGACAGAAATAATTTCCTAATCCTGATAATTTCATTTTATTTGAATAAAAAAATATGTTTATTGTAGTTATTACTTATTAACTATAATAATTTGACACTTAGTTAAAAAAAAATTTATTTTTATTTTAATGAGTCCTCAGAAACTTAAATTTGGTATTACACCTAGTACCTATCTATTAGATAAATTTCTCAGTCTAGTTTTTTAGTTTTAAATATATTTCCAGAATAGTATAATTTCTGTTAGAAGTTAATACTGTACTCTATTTATATAACAAACTTTGCAAAAAAAAAAACAAAAAAAAAATTGCATTTTGAAGTAAATATTAGGGGTTAACTTATAAAATAAAAGTAATAAGTAAAGTGTTAAAAAATTACCTGTATAAGTTTTTCTTGATTAAAGTAATCTGAAGAATCATAATTTATTATTGTGTTAAGGGGAAAAAAAAAACATAATAAATTTATATAAAATTTTTATTGATAAATAACAAAAGAAAATGAATACATTGAAAATAAATAAATCCAATGAAGATAATGTGTAGAGACTAATAAAGCATTACAAAAAATAGAATAAAAGAAGCTAAAATAAAGACATTTTTACAGATAACGATTAAAGGGAAAAAATTTCGCAAAGTAGACACAGGGTTCTTCTGCATTATAACTATGCCAAATTAAAAGTGAAACTAAACTTACAATCTTTTGGAGAGTACTCTAAATCCTTAAATTTAAATACTTAATATTATTTCACTTATCAATAAATACCTAAAAATTGGAATAATTCAAATATAAGCATAAATATAAACAAATAATAATTAAGAATTCACTATTTTAAATTTAATAATTCTTGCTTTCATGATAAAAGAACTTTACAAGCATTTTTTGAAAATTTTTCTCAACATAAAAATAGTTATTCAATATGAATTAATTTCCCAAAAATTAAAAAAATTGATCACTAACAGGCATAAATAAAACAAATTAATTAAGAACTCATAAATTAATTTGTACAGGCAAGTAATAAATTTGATCATATTTTTTAAAAAATTAAATTCCTCTCATTTGAGATTACAAGATAAAGTATCTATATGACATGGATATACTAAAGTGGAAAGATATGTTTGACTATGTAAAAACTTTATAACCTTCATAAAGGTGAAAAATATTTCTCCAAAACAGAGCTGGCCTATTTTTAAGGCTCACCAGATGCGAACGAGGAAAACAAAACAGATTTGAAAGACTAAATTATAATAATGGTCACTAAAAAAATTTAAATAAAGTTTTTAGATTATAAATTTAAGTTGCGAGTTCATAAATTATAATAAAACAAACATTCTTTGAAAATAATTCACAATATTCAAAATTGTCTTTGAAAACAATTCCAAGGGTCAATTTCCATCAAGCCATATCAGTGTTTATATAGCTGAAGTATCAGTGCTTATAGAGAAGAATAAGTGTTTATATAGCAGAAGTATCTTTTTATACCATGTACACTATTTTTTTTGTACACAGAAGTTACACGATCAGGGGTGTGTCTAGGTTTGTTTTAGAGGTACCTATTTTGTGAAAATTTAGTCATAATTTGTGAAATCTAAAAATTATATTAAAATAACCCACAAAAATATGGTAAATTTAGAAAATATTTTTCGAAAATATGTTAAAAGTATTTAGTGAAACTATCGCTTTTCTTAAAATTGAATTTGTGAAAGTACCGATAAACGGCAGTAAATTTGCCCTGGACAGACCCCTGAGAATATTCCCAAATTTTACAAAATTTATGTAAACAAATATTTCACAAAATTAATGTCAATCCTTTAGAGAAACTAGAGTGAGATCTTTCATTCTTCGTAGAGCTTAAATTAAAAATAAATGAAAATTAATCCTTTTTCTTCTTTAGGACAGGTTTGAATCATAAATTAGTTAAAGCATATTTCCAAATTTTTGCTCTATTTCACATATTAAATCACGATCTCTCGGAGAAACTCGAGGGAGATATTTAACTCTTCTCACTGCTTTATCTAAAAATAATTTGAAATTAGAACAATTAATCCTTTCTCTTTTCTTCATACCAGGTCTGCCTCTCAAATTTGTTGCATAGATATCAAATAAATTCAGGCATTTCAACAAAAGTTTCAGCAGTGGTTCAAAAGACCAATTATATTTATCTAATCGCTCAATATAATACTTAATAGCTCTTTGTTGCAAATTAATAATTTTTTCTGTATTATACATGTTGTTTCGAAAATCTGCTCCAATACACAACAAAACAGAATACAACTCCCAAATAATGGGGTAATGGCATTTTTTAGAAATTATTCGTTTAAAAAGTTTGATTGCTTTTCTTTTCAGTGTTAAAGAAAAGGTATGGTGGATATCAGGTGTATCAGTTTTAATAGCGTTAACTATAATTTTTAAAACCTCTATGTCAGTAGAGGACAGATATTTCGAACAAGGTGTGTCACCAACAAATAAATAAAAACAAGCAAATTTTTCATCAAGATAACTATTAAAACCAGTTATCGCATCAGAAAATGCACGAATTTTAGCACTAATCAATAGATAGTTTTCCCAAAACTTTTTCCTCATTTTGCTCGTCGTTTTTATACTGAACGTTGTCGATTCTACGAAACATCTACATGCATTGACTTTATCATCAGCCTTAATATAAGCTTTACACAAATGTATCCAAGCTTCACAATTATCAACATCCATTTCTAGGATACCTTTAAAAGCGTCAATAGCTGTAGCAAAATCATTACAGGCCATAGCAGCGAGTCCCATACAGAATAATACCTTAGGCTGCAAACAGTTAAGTTTGAGTGATTCTTTGAAATGAGAAATACTAGTGTCATATATTTCATGCTTATAATAATAATAACCCATGTAACGTGCAGCTCGGGCATTAGAATGGCGAGACAAATCCCAAGCAACTTGATAAACCTCCACTTCATCTTTAAGATGACCTAAATAACACCAAAGTAAAGGACTAGGTTTAATGGCTATTTCCTCTTCAAGCACATTCACTCCTACTGAAACTATATCCAAATCCTTATAACAGTAAATAGAATCTTTCCATAAATTATGCACCTTATAGATTTCTAAAGCTTCCATTACAAGTCCTGTGCTTAACAATACATCAGCATGCATTTTATGCATGTTATATATCATTGGAAGAGAAGTACAATAGAACAGAACCAGTTTATGAGGAAATATTGTCACGTCATTCTTAATGTGGAAAATCAACTCATTCACTTGATTTATGGTATGTTCGCATCCTCCCCTTATACACCTCAAAATCAAAGCCTTCACTTGCAAAGACCAAATTTTAGGTTTTGACAACAAGGACTCGAGTATTAAAATATCATCATAAGACTTGACATCACTGTAACACCTTCTGCTCAGAATTAACTGGCAGTACAAAAGCAATACCACCTGTTCCTCTGGAGACAGTTCATCAGTTTCTTTTCTCTCATGATCAAGTAAAGCAATCCTGTTCCCCCCCATTTCTGGAACAAAACAATTAGGAAAAGCACAATTGTATACAATTAAGTCACTATCGTATCTTTTATCATTTCTTTTTACAATGATCCGCTTTTGGCTTATTTCATCTTCATCCTTTATAAACTGAATGCCTAGCCCAATAATGTTTTGTGCATTTATAATGTATCTTTCAGCTACATTTAGTTCATTGTAGTACATGAAGAACTGAGCACATTCACAATTAAACATGAAAGCAGCCAATGGTTCGCTTTTGTCATGCAGAAAACTAATCTCACACTGGGAATGAATCAAGGAATTGATGGATCTGTATAAACTTAATGACATATCGGGAAGAATCTTCTGATGAATCATCATACAACGTGATAACCACCATTTATGAGTAAGACATTTATCAAAATTGTTACCAAATAATAACATAAGACTCAAAAATAGCAATTTGGGATGAGAAATATGTGTTAAAATAACTTCTCCGTTTTGTCCAAGAGCACTAAGAACCGATTCATTAGAAAAATGCGAATCTGGTAAGAAACTAGCACAAATTTCATGGAGTGATGAATCTCGTAAAACTGGACCACAAATATTAGCTTTAACAAATTCTTGCAAAGCAGACACACCAACTAAAAGCAAGATTAATTGCTTTACATAAGGACAATCGTCACTGCTGGAGTGAAATAAATATTGGTAATTAGACTTCATTTGATTATACATATCATAAAATACTAACGTTAAATCTTTGCACATATCCTTGAAAGGTTTAAAAAATTCCGAATTAATTTGCAGTGCTTTTTTATACTCATGATTTGAGATATTCTTCATTAAAACATTCAAGTCTTTTAATAGCACATATTCATTAGAAAACTTATAGCGTTCTACATCAATATGAAAGTCATCGGCAGTAAAGTTGCCTGTTACACACTGAATTTCAAACTTTTTAAGTTTTTGTATCAACCTTGTTTCCTCAACAGTAATAGACATTTTTATTCACAAAATATTGAATAAGGTTGGATGTGTTTAATGTTTTCTTACAACGTAAGAGAAATAAGTTTTGAAAAATATGAACAATATTGTTCAATTTCAACAATTCAAAAGTAGATTACAAGCAGAGATCTACATTATGATTTCAAAATGTCAGAACCAACAGAAGACGCTTTCATTTACTTATTTTGTCCCAATTTTAGATTGCGCAAATAAATAACGCGGATTTACGGATATGATCAATTTGAAAATGTGGTGATATAAAATTATCATGGATTTATTTTTATTTTTTAACGAATTCTCTTTATATTTTTATAACATTATTAATTAAATATTATGATTATTATTTTCAAGCTGGCTCTTTTTGGTGACCATGGCAACCGATTGTTTTTGGACTTCTTCCAAATAAGCAAATCAACTTTTAAATTAGTTTTATTTATTTATTTTTATTTATTTATTTTTATTAGTTCAGGTTACACTTTTACAGACCACAATGCTCTTTCTGTTTAATTAAGTTTTAATATGCAAATCAAAGTACTTCACTGGCCCGTAGGTCTGTGTGTGATTTGTTTGTTTATTATGTCACGTGTTGTTTTATCATGTGAGACTCCGGACAGGCATGAAATTCAAGCGCGTCTTACCTGTTTATCACCTTAATTTGTATTCTGTTACTTAGATAAAAGGAGTACATTGTAAAATTTAACAATACATTTTTATTAATGGCAAATTCGGTATGTGTAATTAAACTTTTTCCTCATTATTTAAGCACTGTAGAAGATAAGTTTAGGAAACCATAATTAAACTCACCATAGTTTTGTAAATGTTTATGCACTTTTGAATTACTTCATTCTTTTTCTAACATAGGTTTTTCAACTTTATTTTACTATTAGAAAATTGAAGTGTTAGTATGTTTAAAAAGAATTCTAAAAGTTTATGTGGGTTAGCTAGTATTAATTTCATATCTTCGTTCTTACTTATTATTTTTGATGAAAATATTTTACATCATATTGTTAAATGTTTCAGATTATATAAAACCTACTGGATATCATACGGTCTTGTATCATAGAGTGCATGAAATTTAAGAATACATTTTAATAATGCTTTTTACTCTAAGTTTTTAAATGTTTGTATTTTATTGAGCGGAGTTGATAATGTGTAAGTCTATGGCCTTTAACTTTTATAAAAAATTTGAATTATACAGTTAGGTGCTTGCAATGTGTTTGTATGTATTGAACTTAACTTTATAATTTGGAAACATGCATGAAAAAAAAAATCCTATTTGGACAAATAATTACTGTCATATAATTACAAATAATTACAAACATCATATAATTACAATTACGGACAAATAATTACTGTTCATATGAAAACTCTCTTTAAATTAAAATATTTTCACTTTCAACTGTTGTTTAAAGAGTTATACTGTAAATATAATTGAGTTGGTTCATCAACTGTGCATTTACTTTTTAAGTCTGAAACATGGTTAAGTTGTATACTTGGATTGGTTATTACAGTTTATAAGAAAATGCATTTAAAGTATGTATGTATTTTAACATCTAAATGGTAAATTGGTTGCACTGTTGTATTAAAAATTACATAAATATTGATTTATTCAAGAAAACTTGTGATCTTTCAAAAATTCTTATTTTCCATGGTTAAAAAATTATCTAAATTTAAGTCCGAAAATTTTGTCTGTGTTAATAATTTTTACTTTATAGGTGTCATCACCCAACAAGCATGAGCATTTATATAAAATATTGGTTATTGGTGAATTGGGAACAGGAAAAACAAGTATCATTAAAAGATATGTTCACCAATTTTTTTCACAAAATTACAGAGCAACTGTATCCTTTTATAAAGAGTTTTTTGCGAGAATTGCAGTTGAATGTTGAAAAATTTTATTTAAAAAAAGGACTGTCAAATTCTGTTCTAACAGAAATGACGAGATAAAAAAGAAATGAAAATGTGAAATCTGCTTTATTTTTCATTAAAGAAATTTGTAGTCAAATCTATTATGCAGCTATATGAAAGTGGCATGGTTTATTTTACTTCAATAGTATTTTATTGATAAACGTGGATTCTGATTGGTTTAAAATTACTAATAATGTAATGATTTGTTAATTTATGACATAACAAATTTTAAGAAAAATTTGAAAAATAAAAGTTACTTGAGATGCATTTTACAATTTTCCTACTATTGTTAATATCAGAAAGATGCATTATTCCTATTTCTTAAGACGTTGTGTGTCAAATGACACTAGCAAAATCTGGATTCAATTGTCATTGTAAAAATTTTTTAAATGTTCCGATTCCGAATTCTTTGGATAGAGATGAAGACTATTTATTGTGGGACTCTGCGTGTTAGAATAAAGTCGAATCCATTGTGGAGTAGGATCCATATGACTATGCTTCTAGTCTTAATGAATACAGCGCAAATGATGTTATGGAATTTTTAAATGTGTAGCTTTATTGTATGATTTAAAAGTTTTCATTGTATAATATTTCTTGAATTATTGTATAAATTAAATAATATAAAGTATTATTTAAAAAAGAATCTTTATTTGTAAGGAAAATATGAGGAGAGAAACTGCAAAATTTATTGCATATATAATTAAAAATAATTCTTGTAAAGAGTAATTTGTGGATGTAAATTGATACAGAATTATTCATATCTATCTCATTGTTTATAATGCCTCTGTATCTTACGATCAAGGAATGTCCAACACCATTACCAGTTTCAAACAAGAATTGACACCTTGTTTTTCATGAAATTCTGAGGATGTTGAAAGGTCTACTTATTCACCGGTATATTCAGTATTTATATCTTTGCTGTAGTATTTTCATTTTTAAGTATAAATAATACTTAAAAAAGAATATAATGTTTATATTAAGCTGTATTACTTATATTAGAATATAATACTTATATTTGTTATAATCTTTAAACTTAGCATGTTAGATAGGTGTTGATTTTGCCCTGAAAGTTTTGAACTGGGATACCAACACTCTTATTCGTTTACAACTTTGGGATATTGCAGGTAAGTAGTTACAGTAAGGCCTGAAATTTAGTGCAAAAATGTTTCCTGCTGCTGTTTAATCATTTCCCTTTTTTTTTTTGAAAATATTTTTGAACACATTGAAAAATAACCACACAGCTTAAGATTTTTGAGCACTTTTGAAAATGCATAAAAGGGAATTAATTAAAATTTAAAATCTATGAATTGATAAAGATTGAGGTCAGGTGCTGGCAATTTCGATGTTTCAATTGGTTTGTTTGGGAATACAGTTGAAGTCCTATTATCTGACACCATCGGAACTAGGGGTTTGTTGGAAAATCGAATCTGCAGTTAAGGGGATCTGTTTCTTGTTTCGTTTCAGGTATATAATCAGTCTTTTAATGAAATTAAAAATAAGCAACTTCAGTTATAGAGTGTTTTATTATTCTATATTTAAGAATGTTTCAAAATCATGAAAAAAATTATCACCATATTTTTTTTTATATTAAATAGTTTTATATTTTGGAATATTTTTGATATCTCTCATAAAGTTTGTCGAATAACTGAAGTGACGTTTATTTGAGCGTCAGATTGTCAGGGTTCTACTGTAATTCACTTAAGATAGAAAAATCAACTATATTTTCCCAAGCAAATTGTCGTCAGTTTTTTTTTAATATCTGAATCTTTCATATTTTTATCAATAGTTTTATTTTTATGCAATAGTGTTTTGTGTATCAATCCTCTTGTTGAAAGTTTGAATAACTTACTGTAATCTATTAGCTTATACTACTCTAAAAAATTGTTTCATATAATTCTTCATATAATTTAGTTTTTTTTTTCCTTCTTTTTTTGAAATCTTAAGTCTGTAATTTTATTTCTTAGGACAGGAAAGATTTGGAAATATGACACGTGTTTATTATAAAGAAGCTGTTGGTGCCTTTATTGTGTTCGATGCTAATCGATCTGTCACCTTTGATGCTGTTATGAGGTGGAAAACTGATCTAGACTCAAAAGTCAGTCTACCTGATGGAAGTAAAATTCCCTGTGTTCTGTTAGCAAATAAAGTAAATATATTTTGTGATACTATATCAAAATTGACTGGATTATTTTTAAAACTTGTTATCTCTACCTTCATAGATTTTGTTACGGGGCCTTACTGGGAATAATGCTATGAAGAAGTGAGATTGATATAATTTGTCGTTTATCCAATTTAGATGGATTACTTAAAGATGTTTTGAAACTCATCTAATTGAAAGTGCTGTGTTGTAACAATTATCATTACAGTGTCATGATCAGGCTTATACTTCTTTCTCGTAAATAATCATTCTATCTCACTACTTTCTTCTAATATTTTTTTTTTCATCATGATTGTATGAAATAGTCATGAAAAGTAACTAATTTTTGTTGAGGATTCCTAATTTTCAATTTATTATCAATACATATTTTGATTTTATCATGGTGCTGAGAAAATAAGATAGATTTATTTATATTAATTATTTGCTTTATCTTTTTATAATTTGTTTTGAAATCTATTTTATTCAACTAAACAATGATAAATGTTATATGCCTTCTCTTTGATGTCTAATATTTTTTTTTTTTTTATCATAGTGAAATAAAAGTTATTCAGAATCTTTCAGTCATAGTATGCCCTTTTATATGAGTAGCTCAAATGCTAAATGTGTTAACTTCCATTTTTACACAAAAATGAAAATGCGATAAACTATATTACAACATTTGTTATGGGATTTTTTTTTATTTTTATGAAACTGAAAATATTGTATGTTCATATTAACACTAAACGCAAACTTGATATGGTTCTATATTTAGTTTAATGTATATATTTACTTCAAAATGTGCAGTTTGCAGGTTTTGCAACTTGATGACTAAGAGAAAATATGCTTCTTTCTTATCAAGAGTGCATAAAGTTGGATTTAAATTGGTTTTGTTACCAGTTTCTAAAAAAAAAAGACATATGATTTATTAGTATAGTTCTTGTGCTGTTAGTGATAAATGTGTAAATGTGATTCCAGTTTGAATGGTTCAATTTTACTTCTACAAAAATTAATTTTTTTATCTTTTTCCAGTCACCTTAACTTTTAACCATTTAACGAGTTTCAAGTCCGGCTCAAGCTCGACTAAGAATTCAATATTGACTTTATGGCTTACCTTATGCACTTATCAGCAAGTTGCCCTGGCAATTAAGCTATCAGAAATAAAGATGTGCTAATTTCAATGAGATAGACTTGAGCAGACTATAATATTAATATGAATGTCCATTTGTCTTTTAAATGGAACCTTTAGAGGTCTGTTAATCATTGTTATAATAAAGGGATAAATATGAAGATGTCTGATGGACATTGATATAATTGAAGAATAAATTTAATTTACTAATTAAACTAATCAATGACTAATGTGTAAGAAGAAGCGTTGTGTTATTCAACATTTCAATATGCTTCTAAATATTGATTTCTTTTAAAATATATATGTTCTTCATTCAGTTCTTTAAGTTATTAGAATATTTAATACACAGTTTAAGTTCTTCCCTCGCAGTACTTACTTTTTATGCCATTTATTTTACGTATCTCAGAGTATAAAAGGAATTTAATGAGCCTTAAGTACTTTAGTGAAATTTCCTTACATTTATCTTTACTTAAGACTTATTTGACTGCACCATTTGGTTTTTGTAATGTCGAATAATTTAAGTGATATAGTTTAAATTGGTGCAGTTTAGCTCATTTCGGCTCTTGTGCTATCAAACTCTACATTTAACCAACAAACTCTTTTCTATGTTCTGAACTGAGTTTATCAGAATATTTAAAGCTTCTTGTAGTATGCGTACATAAACGTGAAACTTAGATATTTTAAGAATATTTCTTTTTTTTTTCAGTTTACTTAGCTGTAAAATAAAATACCATATATAAAACTAGAAATGTAACTTTAAATCAAGATGTTATAATTATATATATATATAAAAAAATTACAATAAAATTCACACCAGTGTTTGAATATTGAAATCCATCTTGATATAATGCATGAAAAGAAAAGCATTAATTTCTCTAAAAATTTATTTGTACTGTAGTATGTGTAATTTTTAGTTTTTAAAATGACTAACTTTGCTTTTTTTTTATTAATAAATTAAAAGAGAGATTTCAAACTCCAAAAGGGTCTTAGACCTTTTTGGAAACCAAACGTCTATGTAAAATAACCATTAAAAGTAATAATTAATGTTTTAGAAGAAATTGGTCTTTTCAATTTAAGCAAGCAACTTCAGTAAGTTTGAAATTTTTACGAATTTTGTAAATCTTCTTCAATAAAATTATTTTCATTTGTCATTCCAGTGCGATCTACCTTTTGAAGGTACAGTTACAAATCCTAACTCTATGGATGAGTTTTGCCAAGAAAAGGGATTTTCCGGCTGGTTTTTGACATCTGCCAAGGACAATCTTAATGTTGATGAAGCTTCTCGCTTTTTAGTCAAAAAGGTATTAATTTTTTTTTATATGTGTAAACCATAAGGTTACTGTTAATTCTGCAAAAAGCACGTAATGCAAGCCATTATCAAAAATCATAGTATACAAGCATTTTTTTAAAATATTCAATCTAATTATTAAATTTACAATATAAATGATATACTCAGAGCTAGGACTGGGCTATGTTTTGATGCATTGCGAAATATCGATTTAATGCATAAATCGGCAGGCCAATATATGCATTCGTGACTTTCGTCTTAGACGAGGCATCAGAAATCTGATTTCAGCCGTTGGTATAAGACAACGCTTGCGGTTTAACATGTGAGGATCCTTACCTACGATACCGCTGTCACTGCTCTGACCAAGGCGATTTTGATTTCGTCTAACTGTGAAGATGTTGATGGCGTCTAGCTACGAAGACGATGTTAGTTTCATGATGTTGAATGACGAAGAGCGAATTGAATCAGAACTCCCGGTTTCATGAGAGGATCAGTGTTGAAATAGAATGCTATGCATAGTTTCTTTATGCGTCATTTTGATCTTTTGAGATTTTACTTTTCTAGAAGATTATTTTCAGCTGGACTTGCGTTATTTTGTGATTGCTGTGCACTTTATTTCGTCGGTATTTAACGTTTCTTGTAAATTATTTTCAGTAGGACTTTTACTAATTAGCAATCGTTTCGTTGTGCATTATTTCGTCACTTTTTTCCCTTTTTTGTCTGTCTGGATTCAACGATTCTTGTCAATTATTTTTAGTAGACCTACTGTTACTTGGCGATCATTCCGCAATCGCTGTTATCTTAAATTTTCGTTCGGAATTCATTCTATTAATGAAAAGAAAATGTGAATAAAATAATAGATTCTTCATTTTTTTTTTTAAATTATTGTTTTTCATTTTAAGTGATACAATTTAATATGGATATTTTGTATTTAGCTTTGTTATAAATAGTTTTTTTTTAAAATTTATTTGATGCAGGTAAGTATAATCATTTGATAGAATTTGATTATTTTTAAACCAATAAATCTTCAGTCGTTTTTAATTATAAAAACTGTGGCTATTAGTTAATAAAATATTATTTTTTAATTGAATAAAAAGTTAAGCAATGTTTTGACGTTTTTTAATAATTTAACAATAGTACTTAAAAGTTTTTTTTTTTAAATTTTTCTTAAATTTTTTTTTAATACTTGTTTGTTTCATAATTTGTTAGACAGTTCGTATCATTTTTAAACAAATAAATCCTTAGTCGACTTTATTTTCAAAAAGAAAATAATAAATAAATAAATAACTTAAAATTTATTTTTACATTAATAAGTATGGAATTTGACCATTAGATAATACAACTTTATTATTTTAAATAAATAAATAAATAAAAGAAGGTCTAACGATGCTTCAAAAGCAGTTTTTTCAACAAATTTAAAAAATGTTTTACTAAAGTGAACATTTCTTTAGTTTGTTTTTGACTTTCATTTTTTTCCTTTTAATTTTGAATGCATGTATGTAAATTATTTTGTTACAGTTTTATTATTTTTAAACCAATAAATCCTAACTCACTTTTAATTTAAAAATAAAATAAAATTAAGCTTGGGTTTGTTTTTACTTAGGACATTTTCTTTTGTAGTAGATTTATTCCTTTTATTTATTTGTTGATTAATTTAAAAGATTTCTGATATATAATTTTTGAACATATGCTGAATCTCGATATAAAATCTCTTACATCGCCCAGTCCTACTCAGAGCTATTTCTTTGAGCTTCTACTTCTTAAAGTTGTAGTCCTACAGGACGTTTAAGTAAAGTGAACCTTTTGAGATCCCGTTCAGCCTGTCAAATGATGAAACTTGATATATATTTAAAGAAGTTAAATATACTATGCGGAAAAAATTTTGCAATAAAAAGTAGCTGAAATTATGACCATCAGGTAGCACTTTTCAAAAACTCCTTATGCAAATTAGTCAAATCTATAAAGAAACTTGCATTTATTAAAACCAAAAAATTATTCTGCTTGCCTTTGTCATTGTTAATCATGCCTTTACAGAAGAAAAATTGAGTTTTACTGGTAAAACTGTTTTATCAAAATGGCAGAAATAAATTTGTTGCACTACGTGAATATCAGCTTTTAAAGTTATTGCAGAAAAGGTTCTTGTCAAACAATGGTTGGACGGAGATTACAAAATTTGAAACGATAAATAGATTGTTATTGGTAGATTTTAAAAAATATATTTTAAATGATGTTTTTATTTAGTTGTTATTTTGATTATAGTGCAGTATTGAACAATTGCACATTCATTCTTTTTATAAAATTATTTTATTTATTTCTTTATTGTGATTAGTGCATATATCTGTTCTTTTTTCTCTTGAAAAGTGCTTTCTATTTATAAACACGCTAGCCTTTTAAAACACATCTAAACTAAATTTGTTTCTGATCAAAATTATAAAGCAGAATTGACAAAACATTGCTAAGATTAAAAAGAAGAAAAAAATTTGATCACAGTGTATAGATTTATTCGAATTTTTTTATATTTTGTATTAGCAAATTTTGGTATACATAAATCAATCTAAATTTTTATAATTAGCAATATTTCCCCATAAATTCTGCTACCAGCCTAAGTTGTAATTGTTGAGTGCTTTCATAGCGGAAGATCAATATATATATATATTTAATGTAAAAACTTTAAAGCTAATTTATACAAATTTACAAAAATGCGACTTAAAACCTTCATCCGTTTAACTCTTTATTTGTTATATAGTTGAACCTCAATTATCTGAAGTTATTGGGTTTGAACCTACTTCAGATTATTGAGGTTCATTATTTTATTTATTTCTATACATTGAGCAAGTTAATGTTGTTTTTAGATCCTTGAGAGTCAAGATTCTGTCATTGCGGATGAGATAGATACTGATCGAGCCATACTCACAGATTACCAAATTCCAATGGCTCAACCAGCTCGCAGAAAACTTTGTTGCTAGTACGTACAGAACCATTCCTCCATGGGAATTTTTAACCTGCATCGCACCCAGTGCCTCACTTTTTATACAAATTTTCGTTGCATTTTGTTAATTTTGGATTATATTTAACGTTTTTTTTTGTGATAAAAACTTTATTTTTGTATAGATTTACTAATGTAAGTAGTTTTTGTATAGTTAGCTCAATTTAAACTATATTTGTCTCTCTCTTTATGCCTACTTATTAATGCCTTTAGAATCAAAATTTTTCAATTATTTAGCTTTTGTAAGTTTTGAAACTGCAATATATTTCATACTTGTTGATCTACTGTTAATAAAAGTAAAATTAGTATTGTAAAATTTCATTTGCTTGAATATTACTGATCTATAACAAAACTACAGTGAACTCTCGCTTCTATGATATCCGATACAACTCCCACTATTACAATAATGTTTCATGGTCCTGATAAACTTGGATATGAATTAATGTTATCCTCCTCTCAATATTGTGATATTCTCTAAAGTAGTAAATCCCTAAAAAACGATATTTTTTTTCTTCTAATTTCAACTTTATTTTCTCCATTTATTATTGATTTTCAAATAATGTAAAAAATCTTATTTCTTTTCACCATGGTGAATGGCTTTTGTATTCAGATTTCCATACTCCATCCTTGATTTAGGTGGACCACCCCAAGAGCTTCCATTCTTAGAATTGCCTCCCTTATCTCTTAAGAAGTTACAGATGGAACATTCCTATCTGATTTCGTATTTAACTATAATTAACGCTCTACAAATTAAATTTTTATGTAATATATTTACAGTTAGTATATATATAACATTAAAATTTATAAAAAAAATCTTATTGTTCCCCTAAGTATATCGACTCTCGATATAACAGTAAATCCCTCTACAAAAATCTATTTATTTGATCCCCAACAATATTGTTGTAGTGAGGTTTTACTGTATTTAAAGTTTTACAAATTTCCCTAGTATTTTTTTTTTGATATCCTATAAATATACAATTTCACCTAATTTGTTTTATTCAATGTTTGATATAATGATTCCTGTTTAAAGTTGAGTCTGTATCAATGTATCTGGTATTTCATCATTAGTATTTCAAAATACATAGTACTTAAAATGAATACACCTTTTAAGTAATGAATACAATTTGTCCCAATTCATTTCGAACATATAAAGAAGTAAAATTGCCTAAACAGATGAAAAATAACTTTGTAAAGTTATCTGGATGGTAACACTATTTTAAAGTTTGATTTTGTAACCATATTCATTTAGAAGAGACAAATCCAAATATTAACTTCAGTAGCGATATACCACTTCTATGAGTTAGAAAAGTACCTACTCATTAATTGCATATCTGCCAAGACTCCTGTATTTTACGACTATCTCCTGTTTACCCCTGTATATTCTCAAATTTCTCTGTATTTGTTGAAGAAATTTTTTAAAAAAATTTGGTGATTAAATATCTACTGATGGCAAAAATGCTCCTCTTATTATAGATGGTGCTATTACCAGTATTGCGATGTTATAGAGTGTTCGTCTTCCAATGAGTTTAAATCCCAGTGATGACTGGTCAATATGAATTCCGCGCATGGCTTGCACTGACCAAAGTGCTGATGTAAAATATCCCCAATAGATGGATCATGGATTAGAGTCCCCTTGCCGTCAGGCTAACCATAGGATATCTTCATGGTTTTTCTCACCATGTAATGCAAGTTAGTTCCATCAAAAATCCTCCTCGAAGGCAAATTTCTCCCAATACTAGATCCAGGAGTCTTCTGCATTGGGTTCAAAATTATAAGGCTACAGTGTTGAACATTAGTAGTTGTAAATCCAAAATTGGGTTGGCTGTTCAACGACGGTTATAAATTAAAATAGTTAAAAATAAATGCTTATATTATTTCCAATTTTGAATTTCTCTTTTTAACTTACATGATTATGCATGATGTATCAAAACTTCATTCATAGCCTATATAATTTCGTTAGTATGTAATCTCCGTTATTTTATTTCTCCAATGTTGGCAGGTATGCAATTGAGGATGAGTCCCAAACCAGTAGTTACTTTTTTGAAATGATACTAGGAAATTGATATTTAAAGAGTGATACAGATTTAATTTCGTTTCTTCAAAGACTATCACAATTCAAAATAAGCTATATGGTTACATATCAATATTGTTTAAATATAATCTTTTATTTATCTGAGTAAATTATCCAGTTAAATGTAAAATGTTTTGTTCAGTATTTTGTTTATTTTTCAGCCATAATAAATTTATGGATTTACGATAGTTATATCCTTTCTAAGTCCCTGAATATATTATACTTCATTGAAAGTAAAGATAATGAAAACATGTAGATTTATTTTGTATTAAATTTAACTGAAATACCAAAAATGTTTAAATAAAACAAACTTTTACTTTATAATTTTTCATCCTCTCAATAAATTAAAATCTGATACCAAAAAATTTGATACTTGCCCATCTCTATTCTTGTTATCCAAACATAAATGGACATTATGTGAGCTTGCGATATGAGGGGTGTAGAGAAATATTAAATCGTAATTAATATGACACTGATTTTGACAAAATTATATAGAGTAACTTCTAATGATGGTAAATTATGAAAATTAATCCATATTTCACCAACTTTTTGATTAAAGGTCATGCCCACAACCATCTAAAAAGATAATTTACGAGATTGTGTATTTTCATCATCTAAAGAAATTGGACATTCTTAACCCACTGGCGAGCTTAAAGCTCTTATTTTTACTGCTTCGAAATCTTCATATTTTATGCAACTTTAATTCAGGCTAATTCATTACACCCTTCAATCAGAAAACTGATATGAAGGGTAATTTGCTTCCAAATTATTGTAATAACATAATTTGCATTGTAATAAATGGAGACATTAAATCTATTAAATAGCAAATGGGACTTTATGTTATTATAAAAGAAAGGTTTCAGTAATGTGGGATTGTGTTTAAGAGCATATAAGCTACAGCAATTAAATAACTATCAGAAGTTTGGTATTTTTTCCCCTGCTATTTGAAGTCATTGTAAAGATAGAAATTTAAATTATTAAAAAATCGCTGAAAATTTTTTTTTACCTAACTTATTCTTTTTCTGTAGAAATATTTACACTGGATGGTCGCTCTTTATATCAAGACCTATGGGAGGTTTTATTTTAACTTTAGTCCTGAGAATATTTTTATGTACTTCAATGCATATTTCTACACAATTTTTTTTTTAATAAAAAATTATAACCCCTATTTTTTTCCAGTTTTTAAAAATTAAACAAAAAAAAAAATCCTATATCCCTAAAGAGAACACTTAGTTACACAACGGGGATAAATAAGTAAACATAAATGAGGCACTCAAAATAAATATGGTAGTTATTAACCTATTTTGCTAATGGTACTAGGGAATTTTTGCATTTTCCAATTAATTTAATACTTCAGAAGGGAAATATACAGAGCAGGAGTATTCTTTCGTTTATCTCAAAATTCAAGTTAGAAAGTTTGCTAGGATTTTTTTGTTAGTTCATAACATCCAGAAAGATTGTTTTTTGACTTACTTTACAGTGTAAAAAATCAGAATATTAATTTAGCAAATTTGTAAAGAAAGCAATTTTTTTTAAAAAAAGGTAAAAATATCATTAATATTATCCTTTTAAATTTGTATCATTTGATATGTAGCTGTTAACTTGAACAGCTCAATTCCAATTTCCATATCTGATTTAACAATAACTAATCTACATAGAGACAGGAAGGAGCAAGAAAAATACAAATGTAGCTGATTAATCAATATGAAATCAAAGAAAATAAATTGTGAAATTACTATTTGATTTGAACAACATTATATATTGGTAACTGTTTTAAGGCATTTAATAATTTAAAACTTTTAACCAAATGATTTTAACAAAAAAAGTTTTTATTTCTTTCATTAAAACAAATTTACAATTTATACTTAAATAAATTGGCTTCATTTCAGATACAGTACCTTACCTACATCGTTATTTATACATCTTAAATAAATAATTATAAATCTTTATACACATATATTAAAGCATAAAAGCAGAATAATGTCATTGTTTTAAAATGTTTAATACAATAGTTTATAAATAATCACATATTTCTACAAAGCATTGCTGTGTTTTAGAAGTTCTATATTTGCAAATGTAAATACATAATTACAGAAAAATAAATTTTTTTAAGACATACCTATTTTTTATGCTATATATACACACCACAATAAAATGTAATAACAAAAATTTATTAAGGTGCCCTGCTACCTTAAAGAGACAAATTTTGATAAAAGTTTTGAAAATTAGGTTTTTTGCCAACAAAAATATTTGAAATTTTATCTTTCACTTGGTGTTGAAATTTTGAAACAACAATAATTAAATCTAAGTAATAGTTTGGAAAAACAATATTATTTATACAAGTTTTTACATGGATTTTTCTAATGACTTAATTTTTCGCAATTTTTAGGTTGCGATTTATCTCACAGCTAAAACTGTTTTTGTCACCGAATCTTTAAAGTTTTATAAGCACTTTTCTTATATCCTTTAGAAGATAGTTTGTCATATGTATGTAACATTTTTTGTTTGAGCAGTCTTGTTTGATATGAAGTGTAATTTTTTGTATCAAACTATTGAAGTAATGCTAATAAAACAGCCTTTTAGTTTGTTTTCAAGAGTCAACAACAAGCATAATAATGAAAAAAAATTCTCAATAATTTCATTTTAAAATATTTTGGAGCATAAATAGTGAAGTTATAAATATGGTACTTTTTTACCATGCTTTTCTTAAAAATTTCAAATAAATAAATATTTAATCAAAATTGCTACAAAAATAAACTTTTTTTGCTATAACACATATAGGTAATTTTTTTTAAAAAACGTTGTTCAATGTGTTGGGATACCTTAAGTGATAGGTAAAATTTTTCAGTTTTAAAAAATATTCCATGTAAAATATATATCAGAGTTAAAAAACAGTATGTCAATTCTTTAATGTTTTAAATCCAGGTTATTAAAGGGTCCTAAACAATTTTGTTACTTTTTACAAAAGGAACAGAGCACATGGTCCTAAGCTTTTAAATAACACATTTAGCCAGTTGGAAAAGACATTTAGACATGTAAAATAATTACACAGCAGGTTTTGAAAAAATTAATATCTGTGACTAACATACTGCCTTTTATTTTTGACGCACAGAATTATTTCAATTTATAGAAGTGGTAGAATACAAGATTAAAGTGCTGGAGAAAAAAAATTTCAAAATTAATTACATAGAAAAGTTGGGAAAGTATTTTCACAAACCAATATTTAATAAATTTAAAAAAAAATATTGCTCATAGGACAAGCCTTATTTTAAAAACACCTTTTATTTTGTGATTGAGGAGTATTTTTTATAAATAATTATTTATAATGCGTGTTGCAAATATTAATAAAAATGGCAAGGATGCACAAACATTTTTGAAAAGCAGGCTATAAAAATAAAAAAATACAATGTAAAGGACCAACATTAACACAACATTGCAATCCTAAGAATATAAAGACTATTAAAATTATATTTAAAAGTAATTCAAGTGACTTAAACATGTAAAACTTGTATTTTGCTCACATAGAAATAATAAAAATATTTATAATGAATAAATCTAAACAAATGTACTATAAAGCAATTTATGTTCAAGACTGAACTACACTACTAATATTGCAGAGAATGGTTATTTTTTTAAAAAATTTCATATGTTTATTAATATTAAAGAAATGTAAAGTTGATAAGCTTCCTGGGTTGCTGATTGTACATCCTTATTGTTAATGTTGTACATCCTGATAGTATAATGACATGAGCATCGTGTTATTTTTATCAAAAAGAATGAATATCCAATTAAAATTTTTAGAATTTAAAAACAGGCAGTAATAAATTTACATTTTAAGAAATGATGTAATATTTTTAAAGCAAAGATTTTAAATAATGTAAGAACTGAAAATGATTTTTCATTGCAAGAGCTTATATACAAAGAATAAAATAAACCAATAATATAAAAAAGAAAATAACTTATGAGTAAATTATATTACATACTAATTTAGTTTGTTTTTAAAAATAATGACTCGTAAAATCTATTTTTTATTTAAGTCTGTACAACACTTAATGACTACAAAGAATCAGTGAAATTCATTGTTGGAACATTACTATACAAAAAAAAGGCTGTAAAAACAGGTATTTATTATTCTGCAAGGTGTTTAAAATGAATTATCATTTTATTTAATTAAACAGGACATGAACATTACTTGATATATATTGCTTGTTTAAATGCACAATATTGAGCTATCTTGTATGTTGAAAAAGGATGATTAAAATGGCCTTAACATATAAAAATTTACATATTCATTTTATTATAGAAATAAAAAAACATTTCTATAATATTAATAGAGCATTTTAAAAGTCAATGCAAATGAAAAAAAATTAAATTTAAAAAAATAGAAAAAAAAATAATAATAACTGTAAAATTCAGTAAGGTTCCAAATTTTCAACTTATATACAAAATTTTCTCAGCTTTGTAATATCGAAATCCTTTTTTCACACAGGAAATAATAGTTAAGGAACATAAAATAAAAAATTCCACACTTTGATAAATTTATACTAGGCATGACCATTAATTTCTAGGACTCATTTCATATATTTCGGAGTAATCTCCATCTGCCTTAATAAACTTCTGCACTTGGGATATAAAATTTCCAGAAAAAAAATTCTTAAGTTCCAGATCAGAATGAGTTTTAATTTTATCATTAGCGTTTTCTGAATGACTTTGATTTCGCTAAACTTTGTTCCTTTAGAAAATAATTTGTTTTCAGAGATTCTAGGGATGAATCATTCACCCCTCTTCAGTTATACGTCTTGCATACTTTTCATAACTGAAAAATTTGTCAAAAGAACATGGTTCAAGGGTGTCAAAAACAATAAGAAAGGAAGAGCACAGAAATGTATTTTAAAACACATTAAATGGGTGTGAAAATTAATAGTCATATCTTGTATTTGAAAAATCTTTACATAAACTGAATAATAATAATAAAATAAAAACGATGTACACTTAAAATGACATAAAACGTGAATCTCCGGATTAACTTGATTCCAAAAAATAAAAGTTATAGCTTTTCGACTAGTACATTGTACTTTACATATCACATAATGGCACAAATGTTAAAATAATTTATGGTGTCAAAAACAAAATTTTATAACAGAGAACCAAAAAAAAATTATTAAAAAGTGTAGACAAAAACAATATAAATAAAAAGAGAAAAAATTAAATAATAAAGAGAATTATTTTTTGCAGCAAATATTTGCAAATAATAAGCAACTTTTAAATATCATTTTCTGCCATAACAGTTTAAACATTAAAAGAAAAACATAATAACAAAGTACATTTAAGAGTACCTTAACTATTAATTCTCGATAAAACAAGAAAATATATTATTGAATTGAATATAGAAGATGTAGTAAATATTATTAAATCAGCTATTTTAGAAATTTATGGATGTTAACCTTTTTTTTCTTCTTTTTTTTCGTTGCTTACATTATGTAAAAATTATTGCATGAGCTATACAGTTTTAGACATAAAGAATTATTAAAATTGATACATTGTTTAAATAAGCCTTAATAACTGTAATCAGGATTTGTTCATTATATAATTTTATGTTTCATATTATGTATGTTAATTGTAATATAAAGCTAATTATCACTGATCACATTTTCAAATGAGATTTTATGCTAAAATTTCCATTTACTATTCAGGGATATTATGCATTTCATGATGTTTATTTAAAGAGCTCTTTTCCTAAATGTTTCTGTAGCATGGGTGATAATTTTTCAATCTATGCAATTTTAAAATGCAAAACGAAATATTTAATTGAGATACTACAAATTAAAGTTCTTACAAATAAAAAAAAAAGCTGCAAGATATTTAATTGTTCAAAGATAAACAATCTGGATTTATAAAATTTCAAAGATTTGTTTTGAATTAAACTAACATAAAATAATGTTTTTACATAGACAAAAATAAATAAATAAAAATATTTTATTAAATTGCAAAAAAAAAAAAAAAAGTTATCATTCCTTTAAAAAATGATGTATGAAAAAATTTAGTTTGTTCATTATTTTCACAACAATAAGTAATTTTGTAATGGGCATTGAATTCTGTGGTATTTGACATTCTTGACTATGTTTTGATTCATACGCACAAAAAAAAACCCAATTTAAAGAATGGATAAGAAGACAGATTATCTGATAAAAATGTTTTATTATAACTATATTTTGAGTTTTAATATGTTTAAATTGCCTCAAATATTCCGTGTTAGAAGAGTCAGCTGCTCGTAATTAAAAAAATATATATAAAATTTTCAAAATAAAACAGAAAATTATTACATTCATAATATATTAAAAATACTCCTTAAATTGAAACGATCGAATTTTGTGATTTCTACTCGCATTATTTATTTAAATAATAAAAAAAATTAAATCAAAATTTTTCAATTCCTCATTTTTTTTTTGAGAACTTCTCATTTGTATTCTTAAAAAATAGGATATTCTGATCATGGAAAAAAAAAAATACCAGAACAACTACTAACCCTGAACTATGTAACATTAATCCTGTCTCTTATAACATAATGATAAAATTTTGATTCATAAAAAGCTTTCTTTTTTTATCTCATTTACAAAAATTTAAATAGTGTTAGGACAAATAATTTAGGACAAATAATAAAATTTCCCATTTTTTTACTCTTGCATAAAACTTGCATATTGCATGCTTAATAGCATAAAATTTTATAATATATCATACAAAAATAGAAAATAAAGTAAAATTAAAAAAGAATAAATAGAATGAAAATAAAGAAAAAATTCTTATTTATCAATTTTTAAAATCCAAACTATTGCAATTAATATTGACGATTTCAAGCAGAAATGTTGTGTACCATTAGTGAAAGCGAGAGAAGTATAATTGAATAAAAAAATCCACATTGAAAAAGTGACCAGAGACAACAAATATCTATCATGAGTCTAAAATAAAAATAGCAGTGTTATACAGTTTGAATTGCGCCTTTTATTTTGCTCGATGAAGAAGAGTTTTGAGGAGTCAGCACTTCTGATTCCTGTTTTGATTTAGCAACAACTGAAGCTTCCGAATGGGATGGATGGACTTTTTCACTCGACTGCTCAGCAGCACAGCAAGGTTTGGTGCAAACTTCTGAAGGACTCAGCTGTGCCGCATCAGATTCACTGGGTGGTTTAGGATCTTCCGCTTCGCTGTCAGCTGTGGAAGGTTCTGAGGTTTCTTGAAGCACTGTAGTACCACAAAAGAGTTCATCGTTTGATATTGAGGCCCTTTCACTGTTAGCTGGTGTGGATAATTTATCATTCAAACTAGTTGTAGAACTTGTACTCTGAGTTAGAACACTTTGTTGCTGCAGGTGGCAGAGTCCAGGAGGAGCACTTATTCTAGCCTAATTGGAAATCAAAAGGATTAATGAATTTATAGGTTTTAACAATCAAATTATGGTAATAAATTAAAACAGATAAGTTTTACTTAATCAGTTAACTGAATAACTAAAATCAGTTCTACAACAAAATCAAAATAAACTCAATTCAACAAATTAGGTGATCAGTTCAAATTTTTATATATCATCATCACCATGATAGCACAACAACCAGGGTTTTTGAACCACTCAAAAACCCAGGCTCAATTTTTATTTATTTTATTATTTTTTTTATAAACATAATCAAAATCTACTCTTGTATCATTCTTTTTTACTGATAAATATTAATACACAAATATACATAACCCTACTTTCAAAATTTAGTGTACTTAAATAAATATGTGTGTAACTTTAAATTAATAAAACAATAATTTGAGCTTTCTTATTGTTATTTGTTTTGAATTAAACATGTGCAGAGTACAGGCTGGGATAACCATCTTTCTCTTATCTCCTTAATAAATAAGTTTTCAAATACGAATAAATAAGCATATATAAGTATTTTAACAAAATATTAAAAATAGAATGTTTTAATTCATTTAAAAGAGCATTTTTGTTTTATAAAATATACAAATGGATGGATTTTGTTACGAGTTATATTTTAATTCTACAAAATAATCATTTAAATATACAAATTCATTACATTTTAAACAATGATAAAATACAGAATAATATGAAATTAAATTATTTGGAACTTATTTGGCATTATAAATTTTATTTAATAAAAACTTACATTCTAAATACATAATTTAAAAAGCAATTCTAAATGCATAGTTTAAAAAGCAGTTCAAAAAACTGTTAAGAAATTTTTTTAAATAAACATTAGTCATGTAGTTAGTTGGCCTGTAAAAGACTTACTTTATTTCAACAAGAAAAATGAATCTATAACTTAAGTATTCAAAAACAAATAACACAGAAAAAAGCCTACTTCTCAGACCCAGATATTATACTTTCATTTCTAGTCAATAAAGGAATTAATTTAAGAGCTTTTATTAATACCAGCATGAAAAGATGGTACTACATTAAAATTAAATATATATATTTTAATTCATTATTTATTTATTATCTTATGAAAGTTTTCTTTGTTCCATTTTGAATTAAAAATTAAAATTTGAACCTAAAAAAGCGTTAAACTAAGTAACATTTTAAAAAACCCAACAAAAACCATCCAGGTTGGATTTTTTTAAACCCTGATAACAGCCGAAAGTGGAAGTTTTATTCAAAACTACTTTTTTATATGTTCTAAATGGTTCATTTTGGACACATAAGTGGTTCAGTTTTTAATCTATTGATCTTCAGAAATTTTATAATATATAGGTTCTTAAAACATTTATAAATTCCTGTAATATATTGTCTTTTCAAACACAAAGTTTTTAAATTTTTTTTACTTCTTTTAGAATAGCTATTAGCTCTGAAGCATCAGATCTTGTCAATGCCTTAGCCATAGACAAAAATAGGTCTAATAAGGACTTTATATTACAAGAATTTGGTTTTTCTGCATATTAACTATGACTTAAAAATTTCTTAGATATAATTCTGTTTCCTATTACAGGTAAAATATGATTTTCAATGCAAGCAATTCAGAATATTAACAATAGTATTTGGAAAGATTTAAAAATTTAAATTCACAAATGCATTTGAAACAATTCATGTATTTACTTATAATTATAACAATTTTAATTTACTTTTCCCAATTGAACAATTCAACAGTTATATATTTAATTTCCTTCATAATCTTAACAAATTGGCATCTTATTCTTGTTTGATTAAAGATTAAAAAAAGAATTAGCAATTACATATTTTAATAAACATTTGCCAATAGAATAAAACAAGTGTTAAATAATCAATTCACCCAATGGCTTAATATACAAATGGAATACCTGTGGTAGACCAGATGAGCTTCGTCTTCTTATACTTGGGCTGCCATGGCGAGAACTGTGTATTCTTGATAAATCTTCTAAGGGTATTTCTTCTGAGCTCGTACTCGAAGCATGTTGCCTGGGTGAAGATTCTCTAGACCTAGAGCCATGTCGTCGAGGTGATGACGGACTGCTGCCAGTACGTTTTCTCTCAGCAGAACGCAGACTTTTGTCACTGGTATCTGAGGACACAGATAAATGGCTACTCTCCCCATGTTTCAGAATCGTTGCATGTCCAGGTACACGACTTGACGTAGACATGAGGGGACGGTGATGACAATGGCGTATACTGCTTCCAGCTGCTTTACCTTTTAAACCAGTATCTTGAGACTGGCTACGATGCATTACTAAAATGAGACAGACCAACACAATGAGATAACTCTTTCATTTCAATTTTATAGTTCTTCAAAGAAATTATACTTTAGAAATAAATTAGAAATTATACTCTTTTTTAATAGTTTAAGGTTATATGAATATAAATAGCTTTAAATATGCATAGTATGTTGAGTTCAGTAAATATATATACAACATTAATAATTATATCGATAAAATAAAAGTACATGGTAGACAAACTAATTGGCCCTATAAGATAATTTTTGAAAAATATGCAACTATCATTAATATTTTAATGCAATGTGAATATATCTAGCAAACCTTGTTAAAGTTTGTGATGTTTTGATTACCTTGAGATGCTTTGGACAAGTAAATGAATAAACAATACTTAAGAGGATCCAAAGAAAAATGAATAATTTTAATATGGGTATGATGATGTTCTCAAATCTAAATATATGAATTTTAAACTGGTTGTTTTTTTTTTTTTTTTTTCAAATAAGAACCTGGCCGTATAATGTACACAAACACCGCTCACATAAAATTTTACACCATTATGGATTTTTTTTTCGTTGTAATATTATTTCGTTGTAAATAATAGTTATATTATCAGAACAGAAAAAAATAATCTACCTCTTTAAAGAAAGTTTTTTTATTTTCGATTCAAGAGAGAAAAAAATATTATTCATGTTCAAATAAATTAAATTATGTATCGGAAATTGTATTCAAGCGATTTTAAAACCAAACATTGAGATTTGTATTTGCATGATTTTAAAATAAAATGTTGACATTCATATTCGCATGATTTAAAAATCACACATAGAGATTTATATTTACACAATTTCAATAAATAAAATCTAGCATCAATATTTTTATTGAAATATTGATAACATTCTGGGGATAAATGCTTTCCACATACAATTGTTTCTTGCTTAAATTTCAGGTATTTTTTCAATTATTTGAAAAGTGTTTTTGCACATAACATTTTTGAATTTTTATTTTCACCTTTTTTTAAAATCAAACTCATCCTTGAGGTATGAATCAATATAGAGACAATTAAAAAAAATCACTGACGTTTCAAATAAATTTGCCAAAATGAGGTGAAGACGAAAGGATTAAAATTAGTTACAAGAGTAAATCAATGCACAAAGGAAGTTTCTTTAATTGAGATTTTGCGTTCACAGAAAGATTTTCATTTTATCTAAGTCTGATAGGAACCAGTTTCTTTTGGTATTATTTAAAGATAATAAAGTGAATAAAGGGATAATACAGCATGATTCTGTTCTATGACTTATCGACTGAAGATTAGATAGATGGCTGTAAAAACTGACGAAGGAAGCCAAGAAATAATTTTTCTAAAAAATAATATAAAGTAAAACGGAAATCTTTTTTATCTAAATGTTTCACACTATATTTAAAAAGAAATCCCTCAATCAAATAAAATTCAATTACTTAATGAAGCAAATTAAATTCCCCAAAACTTTGTAAACTAAAAATTATTATTATTTTTTAAGAAAGTTCCTATTAGATTGTCAGAGAAATAAATATATTTTTTTTCACCAACAGAAGAAATAACAATGATAAGATATAAATTTAACTAGTAATCTAAGTTGAAAATTCATTGTTATTAAGAAGGTAATTTCAAATAGTAAACAAAATTCTCAGAAAAGATTGGATTTGTCTATATTTTAAATACATAAGAGCTCTAAAACAGGAAGTATTTCAACAGATTATATAATATAAATTCTAAATGAATCTTTCTCAAAATAACAAGAATTTTTTTCAAGCCCAAAACTCCTTCATTCAACTAATGGACATATCATACAAACTAATGGACAATTACTGTCAATTTAAAAAAAAAAAATCTTAATGCATTCAGAATCCTTCAAAATTATTATGTTATTAAATTAATTCTACATTACAGAAACAGGAATTAAATTTTATAAATAAATTTAAAAATAATTTTTTGCCAAAGCAAAATTTTTATTTACTCAATGAAAATGTTGTGAAAAAATATCAATATCAGTTTAATATCAACAACAGTCAGTTTAATTACTTAATAAGTAATAAAAATGTACATTAGAATTTCTTTTCATTTTGCATTTTTTTTTTTAATTCTTTAACTTTAGTGAAACAAAAACATCTAGTTTAATGATATTTGCTGGCTGAAATTATGTAGCTAAATTAAATTACATTAAGTGAAAATTTGAAGGGAGGCAGAAAACACATAGAGTGTGGCAATGATGATAGACAGATATATCTCAATAGACTAGGTATTTGAAAGTGTTGATTTCGTTCTGGCAATTTACATAATTGCCTGAGATTAACCTGAGCTTTTTCTCACCTATTTCATAAAAAAGTGGTATTTCTTCATTATACCGGCGCAAGATATAAAGGCGCCAATAATGATGCAACCAATGACAAACTGAATATCTCCGCTGGTAACCTTTTGTCTCCACATTTTCAAAGCAAGACAGGGCCATTTTTTTTTTAAAATTTTATCGGTCAAATCTTTTTCTTTATACGAAAAATTAACGAAAAAAGCAATGAAAATGTGGGATTTGCCCAAAACAGAGGAATAAGTGGTCAGATTCTTTTAAGGGAAAGGCGTTTTGGCTGAAATCGCAGCTTGTGAGAAGAATCATGAAATGAAATTGTATATCGGAGATGAAATTCAATGCCGATGCAATCTTTCATCTGCAAAAGAAGTATCCGTAAAGGCACCTGGTTTCAGTAATCGAAAATGAGCTTTTTGAAGGGTGTGCGGTTTATTTATCGTTGCAGCGAAGAATTGACCTCAGTTTAACGGTGTGAAAAGCAGTTGGAAAACAGTCATGTAACAGTTGTAGACTGGAATAACTTCATGCTTGAAGTTGGTGTGAATTCTTTGCTTAAACGTGAACAACGGAAAGTAGAAGTACCTGACATGAGCGTCGAAGTGGACGAAAGTTTGTTCATGAAGTGAAAAAAAGATGCGGGATGGACTACACAACAATGGATCTTCGGTATAGTTCGCCGGAAAACGAACGAATGTTTTCTTGTGGAGTTGCCAAACCGATTCTCTAACACTTTCAAGGCAATTAAGGAAAATATCGAAAAAGAAACTTCAAGTTATTCCGATTCATGGAAATCATACTGCACTAGAAAGCTGAAAGTTTGCACTAGGAAGATGAAAGTTTCGAACATTTCAAAATGAACCATAAATACAACTTGGTCGATCTGGAAACTGGAACTCACATGCAAAAAATAGAGAGACTGTGGCGCATAGCGAAATAAGAAACATAGAGGAATGGCACGCCATCATCTCGAAAGTTATCTTGTAGAATATGTGGAGAAAGCAAACGGAAGCTCCATTTGAAAAAATTTTAAGCGATATTAAAATGTTTATGCCTCCGAAGTAAAAAATAATTTGAACCATTTATTAACCATTTTTTTTATGTGCATGCTTTGTGTTGTAGACAATAAAGTCTGCTTTGTGTGATTTGTTCCGTCGACTGTGCGCTGCCACCAAAAAGTCTGCTTAGCGAGATTTGCGCCGGTATAATGGAAAAGTACCAGAAAAGTTTAATGCATTAATTTTACTATTTTAGAATTGTAATTTTACTATTGTAGACTTCAACTGTAATCAATCAACTTTATTACCGATACATTCCAGAGTAATTAAGAATTATACTAAATGATGAACTTACAGGAAGAGAAGTCTGCCGACTTGACGGAATGCAAGCTATGTCGGAGAGGAGAGGGACAGGGTTGAATGTGGTCAGGAAGTTCTAATAGACGGGCTATCTGGTGAAGCTTGCGTTGACGAGCTTTCTGGCGTCCTTTGCTCAGCCTCTGCTTAGCTGCCATACACCTGATGTGGTCGTCAAACACAAACTTCGCAGCAAGGAGCGGGGATCTAATACTTCCTGTTGCAATACTTGACGGCCTGTGAATAGTAATGTGGAGGCAACGGCTGTCGTCTTTATCACCAGTCACCTCAATATCCTAAACATTAAAGGTTTTATTATGAAATCCAATTATATTCTTAAATAAAAAACTGCTATAAGTCAATTTAAAATTGCAACAAAAACAATATAACAAAATCTAACTCAAACCTAGAAAAGTGCTAAACTGAATAACACTTATGTTATTCATAGTTACAGTTATTCATAGTTACAGTTATTCATAGTAAACAGTTATTCATAGAAAAGCTCACACGTGAATGTATGCGGAGTTTCCCCTGAAGTGGTCCTGTACTGCATTCACGTTTCTTTCGTTCTATTTCAAGTCACTCTCTAATTTTTACAAATATATCCTTTTATAATGTAAGCATTTCTTAAAAAGAGCTTTTTATATTTTCAAGAAATTTTCAATTTCTGAAATGACAACACAAGCTTCTGCCAACGATTACGACTGCAAATGGCAACTTTGAAAAATAAATTCAAAGAGAAATATAAAAAGCTAGAAATGTAAGGTTGGTTGCATTCTTTTAAGACAACTGGAATATTTGTTTTCCCCAAGTTTTAAAATTCTGTTATCAAATTTATCAAGAGGTGGCACAGCTGACAAGTTTATCAACAGATGGCACAGATATAAACTATAAAACAAGCATCTGCAACAACAGTGAAAGTAGTACTTTATTTATGTCGCATTAGAGCTGCATAATGAGTTATTGGAGATGGTGTGGGAAACAACTCTGAGGATGAACCGGAGACATGATATCTCAATTTTAATCTTCTGCGTGGGGGATGGCTCTTCCCATCGGTAGAACAATGATCTACACTTTAGGATAGAACAGTTTAATGAGGATCAATACAGTGCACCCTCCAACCCTTTGCAGGCTGATCAAAGTGGCACCTGCCTGCTCACTGATGCCTGACTTCGGCGATCTATTAGAAAATATGTCTTACAATCAGTCCTCTACGAAACATTTGCAACAGCAACATCATGGTTTAGTTTGGGGAGGATTAAACTAAGGAGGTGAAATTAGAGCAAATATTTCTACTAGACTAGTCTGACATTGAGTAGGCAACATTATTTAATAGTTTTTGCAGTTAAGGACACTGTTGTATAACTTAAAAGTTAATTTTGAAATTAAGTGGAAAAAAAAATTTTTTTTTTTTAATTATATTTAAAGCAGGATTTATCTAATCATACATATTCCTGTTCTTTTAATAGATGTTTCAAATTATTATAATTGTGGAGATACCTGGAAAGCTCCCATGACAAAAATAAAATTTTGAAATGATTTAAAAAGCAAAAGTCTAACTCTCAAATTTCGAAATTTTTTTTTCAGTATTACAATATACTTGAATTTTTTTTAACCACAAGTAAAAAATATTAAGTACTAATGAAGAATGAAATAAAGTTGACAAGTACTTTCTTTGTTAAATGACAGCTAAAATTTTTTAAATTGCATAGAAATATTTCGTTAATTACAACAGCTATTTTTAAATACTACTACTTTAATTGAACGATTAGTTACAATGTATGTAGTAAGTTTTTTTTTCACATACGATTCATTTGAATTAAACTGTTTAGAACTGTTTTTAAACAGATGCCTTACAAGCTTCTAAAATTTTTCCTAAATAACATCCCAGTACAAAGAAACACCTTATTTCTAACATGGAAACCAAAGAATTCATTTTTAATCGAAAATTCTCCCCAGAACAATTTTAAAATGTATTTAAAAATTAAAAAACTATTATTGAAAATCAAAATTTATATGAATACATGAAATTTATTAGAAATATGAGAAATTTAGAGAAATGATAGTACCTGCAAAAATCCAACAAATTTTGCAATTCCCCAACCAACACGCTTATTATCAGGATCTACAAGGATGAGTTGTAAAGCATCTATAACCATAAAGCCTTTTATTTTTTGACCATCCTTGGTGATGACGGTGCAACTAATGAGGTCACTGTTATCTGAAATCATTGGTTTCATTTAAAAATAAAATATCTATGGTTATGTTAGATAATTACTATATTTGCATATCAGTAATACAAAAAAGCATTAATTGAGATGGAGGCTCATTGACATACAACATTTACTTATAATATATCAAAAATGTTTGCATACTTGCAACAAATAACAAAGAAATGATTTGTTTGACAATTTGAAAATGCGCTAGGTAGAAATAAAAACCAACAACTTCAGTATTTATTTTTTGTATTTTCTTCCAACTTTAATGTTCAGGTACTCAATCAATAAAAATAAACTAAATACGAATCCTCTTCGAGTCAATAAGAAAAACGAATTTAGAAATATCATTTTAATTATTATAATATATCATCTTAACGGTTTCACCTATTAAAATTGGAACTGTATCCAGTAATTGAATATTATTTATTTTTGTTCTGAAATACCACAAATTTAGGAATGTGTTTTGTTCATAAAAATACTAGAAATATTTTGAAATCAAAGAACAATATTTTTTTTATCTTCTCATTCACAGCTTTGATTAACTAATGGGTAATTTAAAAACAATATAAAAGAGAAAATGTAGATAAAAAAATCTTACTGAGATCAAGAGCATCATTAACTTTAATGCAAGAAGAGAGGTTTGTCAAAGGTAGTTGATTTTCAGGCTCATTCTGCAAAGTCAACGATAAATCTCGAAGAAGGAAGAAAACTCTGATAGCCTGAAAGAACATAGTAAAAATAAACATTATTAAGAATGCTATAATTTCATTTTGCGAAGCAAAAAGATAACAAGACAACCTCACTCGCTTAATTCATCACATTATTTTACAAGTAGAGATATTTTTATTATTCACAGATTAATAAAAATATCTTTCTGTATTGGGCATTTATGGAAAAAAAAAGTCAATAAATTTTTGCATTTGGCAGTAATTTGCTACGCTTGGCTATTAAATACCTTAATTCTGCAAGAGTATTTTTGAAATACAAGTGATAGGTAACAATGCCTGCTGGTTTGTACAATCACTGGTTAGTAGAAGCAGCCACTTATTATATACGAATTTCGAAGTACTAAAAATAACATTAAAAAAATATGTTAAGGGACATTATGACTATTGGATATTGGAATCAAAACTACTTGGTCACTCATTGAAATTCACAATATTCAAGAGCAAAATTTAACATCAGTTTTCTGAGAAATTGTTAGTTCACAGGTTTCACATCATATGACAATACTAAGTTCTTTTTCATATTCAAAGAGTTTATTTCACTTTTTACTAGCCTAAACCTACCTGATGAAGAGAACCAACTTAAATCTGAGTATCTCCAACCTCATTTCTAATAAATTACAAAATAGTTTGACTAACTTTAATTAAGATTTTGAATCGATACTTTAATTCAAAATGCTACGAAACACTGAGAAATTACAATTCCATACGTTTACATATGAATATGTTCATTTCATATGTAGAAATTTGGCAAGTGGACTCCACCTTTTTTGTAAAAAAAAAGCCTTCAGGTACCGATGTGATGACATAAAATGACAGACACTGTATATAAGGATAATAGATTGCATATTTTTTAAAAGAAAAGACACACATATATGCAAAATAAACAAAAAAAATCAGATTAATGAACAGTCATAGACCACTACAAGGACGAGGGGGGGGGGGAAGAAAAGCACGTAGCCTTGCGGAATACTAGACATTTTTAATTAAAACACAATATCGCAAATTACCCTTCTAGCCCTTTCTACTTCACCACACGGAAGACGTTTGTGGAATTCAATGCCAGACATAGGAGTACCAGTAGGAGGCAGCAAAAGTTTTTCATCCATCATTAAATACTCAACATTGAGAGCTTTTTTCTAAAATCAATTTCACAAATAATCAAAACACACATTTAAAAACAACTATTTCTCACATTTTAAAATTATCACATCAAAAAGTTAACTCACATTAATGGTTAATCATTTAATCAAAGTATGAAACTGATTTACAAATTCAGAAAAAGACAAAATAAGTAAATGTTAGTCAGATAAACTAATGCTTCCTTATAGAATAATAAATAAATAAACAATAAAATAATAATTAAATTCAAGGAATTTATTTATAAATCACTTGCTAGCTTTGTTTGATAGTGTTAATTTCATCGCATAAATCCCCAAATTCATAGGTCATAGGATGCTTTAATATTTTACCTATGAGACTATTTGTCATGATAGAAAAATCAAATGTTTCAATTTAAAAGAATATTTAAATAATTTCTTTTCCCTGGAATATTATGTTTAATATACTTCCACATTTACATCCAATAAAATTTTAATATTGAATGTAAAATTAATCTTGTTTCATTCCAATAAAAATTCAGTAAATCAACAGCCTGAAAGAATTATTAAAAAAAAATTCCTAGCAAAGGGGAAAAAACATAAGGACTGACACAAATATACACATCAACTGACTTTTAAAATAAATTGTATTAATTTAGCCTAAAAATTCCAGAACACTTTAATTAAATTAGAGAAAATTATACACAATGAATGTTTGCTTTGTAATACCACTCACTTTCATTTCTTCATACTCATCTTCAAACATGTCCAAAAATATTTCTTCGCTCTATAATAAAATAAATCATCTGTAGAATTTATTTTAAATTATTGCAAATGAGATTCAAAATAAAAATTTAAAGAATTAAAGTTGTTTTTTTTTAAAGTCTATATTTAATTAAAGTATGATTAGAATAACCTGTGCATCAAAATGTTTTTAGTTTAATTTTAACTGCAAATTTTTTTTTATAAAAAGTAATTTTATTCTATAAACTAAGAATAAGTATTTTTAGAATTATAAAATATGATTATAATCTTCAATTCCCATAGTCACTGTAAGAATAATGCAAGACTTTGTTCTTCATGTGAAGCAAAAATTAGTACATTTCACCATAAAAATTAAATGAAGAAAAAACTGATTGACTCTAGGTAAAAAAGCACATTCGAGTTTAGTTGCTGCATACAAGAGTCATTTATTCTTTTCAACAGTAAAAATCATTTTAACAGTAAAAAAATATTTTTTTTTGCCAGATCACAATTATGTAAACAAATTATTAACCAAACATGAAAATGCTAAAAGTATATTATACTAAAAGTATATTATACTAAAAGTACATTATACTAAAAGTATAAAGTAAAAAATTAATAGCTACTATCATTTTTCAATTAAAATATATTATAGTAAAAATTTAATAGCAACTATCATTATTTTTCATTATTTTAATACTAATAGATAAAATATTCAAATGAAAACAAAACATTTAATAATTTGAATAATTTGATATTACTGTTTAAAAGAAATTCTTGCATTTTATAGACAAGTTAACAAAAATATTAATCCTTTTAATAATCAGTGGAATTCAAATTTCCTTTCATTATTTAAAAAAAAAATTAAAAAAATAAGAAATGCATAAATGTTATTTTGATATCCGTTTGAACTATAAATATATGTAATGAACTTCATGAAATTCTACAAGAAAAATAAAGTTTGAAAATAAAATAAAGACCCTTATTACCATGGTAATAATAAATTTGATACATTTTCACAAGAACAGACTTAATTTCTATAATATCTGACCTTGCTAGGATATGCATGCAACAAGGCAGTTTCATATGTAATTCTAAGCAGCACTATTCTTAAATAAAATTAAAAAAAATTCAAATCATTGAATTAAATTAAAGGAAATAAACTTTTATGATGCTAGACTGATGTAAAAGAAGGGATGAAAAGAAAACAAACAGTAACAGAATTGAACATTATTATGGCTTTGTGATAAAACCTGTGTTTACCTTGGAGAGGGAGGGAAGAAACTAACCTAATTAGCCATTAAATTAAATTAAAGGAAATAAACTTTTATGATGCTAGACTGATGTAAAAGAAGGGATGAAAAGAAAACAAACAGTACCAGAATTGAACATTATTATGGCTTTGTGATAAAACCTGTTTACCTCAGGGTTTAAGCTGAGTCTAAAAATTCATTAGCAAAAAAGCTAAAATCTGAAAAAAAGTTTTAGCAAAATGCTAAAATGCCATTAGGCTTATAAAATTACTTTATATCAAACAAGTACTGTAAGTTATCTGACAAAGAATAGCTTAATGTACAAGAATATCAAAAAGAATACCTATAACAAAAAAAAACACATTTATTATTTATCAAAACATTTTGGTTTATAATTGACAATCTTCCTTTCTTTCATGTTTGCCCATTTTACAAATGCTTCTTGAAAGTTAAATGCACTTTTAGGGCCCTAAATATTAATCATTAACAAATATATATATATCATATATTCTAGCCATTTTTGTTGATCGCTATGCTTCATCTCGTTTGATCACGTTTTTTTCGTGAACGCTAGCGTCATGGTTCTTCTTGCGAAAGATATTTAGATTTTTTCTCCTTCTTGTTTGATCAAGTTTTTTTCATGGATGTTAGCGTCATGGTTTTTCGCGGAAGCCTTTTTTTTTAATGGAATTTAGTAAAATCCTTTAGCAAAAATGCGAAAATGCTTTGTTGAATTTTAGCATTTTTGAGGGGTCTTTTCGCATTTTGCGAAAAAAGCTACCGTAGCGGAAACCCTGGTTTACCTTGCAGAGGGTGGGAAGAAACTAACGGGATAATTGAATGCAATGGAAGAATAATTCGAAAAAAGTAAAACACTAAGTGCAATATAATTGATTAAATTTTTTATTTTCATTAAGTTCATAAAAAAGAAATTGAATGTTTTTCAAGCTTATGCACATCCTTTAATAAATTGCGTTTAAATATAAAACTTTTTCCCCCGCAAAGAATCGCTTAACATACATATAGGCCACAACACATATCTTTGAGAAACAATGAATATAAATGATGAAATTTCAAATATGATTAAAATGTATTGAAATGTAACAAGGAAAAACATATAAAATTTTTTAAATAAATAAATAAATAAGCATGAAGACTGAGAATGATTTTTTGAAAAGAAGAACTAACTTTGTAGAAATTTCTGAGCATAACTGTGCTTTCTTCCCGAGCTTGTTCAATAGCAGCTAAGTGACAGTCTAGTAAGCAGCTTTCAGTGTTTTTTAACGCAAGCTGCTTTAACAGTAATAGTGTCATCTGAAGAGTTGCTATACGGATTTTGCTACCTAAAAAAATGAAAGCAAAAAGATGAAAAAAATTTTGAAAAAGTTTTTGCAAAATATAAGCCTGAAAACCATTAACAAAAGAGTAAAACCCATAATGATTAAACATAGAAAAAAAAAACAAGAAAGTCATTAAGCACATTATATACAATAAATTAGGAAAAAAAGGGGACGAAAAAAAATCTGAAAAATAACTCATATCTACTCATTTATGCGATACAGAAAATAATGACACAAATGTTATCAAAGCCAGGAATACAATTTATAAGTAACCATACCTGCCAACATTGGAGAAATAAAATAACAGAGATTTTACTAGCAACATTTTTTAGGCTACGAGTAAAGTTTTGATACATCATGCATAAGAATGCATTTAATACATCATGCAAGTCAAAAAGAGAAATTCAAAATTGGAAATAATATAAGCACTTACATTTAGCAAAGTAAAAAATATGTATATAAATCTTAATCTGAAGACTTTTTTTAAACCATTATTTGTAATTACTTAAACTATAAACACCCAATATACTGCAATACTGGCAATAACACCATCTATTAAGGAATAAGACAAGTATTTTTGTCATCAGCGGACATTTTGTCACTAATTTTTTTTTCAATTTCTTCAACAAATACGGAGAAATTTGAGAATATATGGCTAAACAGGAGAGATAGTCCTAAATTACTAAAGTCTTTGCTAAAAAACAGGAGACTTGGCAGGTATGAGTAAGACAAATCCTTTGTCACATCAGTGCACTTCTGCCATTTATCAGGGAGGTCCCAGAAGGATTTGGTAAACTAATTTGCAGAAAGTTTTACACACTATCCGTGGACAATTACATGCAACATGTTAGTCCCATAACTGTGTCCTTGCTCTTATAAAACAAGGCACAGTCTGAAATTGCCAATTTCAGAGAGAGTATCAACACAGTGAAGCACCAGGCCAGAATAATTTCACAAATGTCCACAAAGTTTCTTGCAGAAGTCATTTTTCATCATGGATTAATTTGTCATAATCAAACCCAGCACAGCTTCGGTATTTACTGCTGTATGTGATGTAGCTGGTCAGCACACACCAACACCTTGCCTTTAGTCGCAGTCACTGCTGTACTCGACATATCACCAAACTTCCAACTAGCAACATATAATGGCTTAGCTCATACCTCTTTGCATTTATTTTATTGCCTTTCCCAGTGGTATTGTGCATAGTTCCATTTTGAGGGCTGCTGTTTCAATTATTTTAGTATGGCCATAGAAATACATCGGAAATTTGGATTTAAAAATTCAGTTAAAATTAAAAATCAGGATTATTTCTTTGAATTTTACAATTTCTAATATATGTAGGCTCTGTTTATTGTAATCACTTTGGGACACAATTATTTTGATAATATTAACTGATTGATAATGATAAACAAATCACAAAATTAGGTACCTATTTAAAGCACACATACTGAGTTTGAAATAAAAAGAAAAAACACTATATACATTTACACATTACATTACATTACAGTACAGTACATTTTCTTTAAATTATAAAAACATAGAAGCAGGATTCATATTGATAGAAGTGAAGTACAGAAGAGAGGTTAATAAACCATAAGAGGTTAATAAACCTTACAAGAGGCTAGTAAACCATATTAAGAGAAAAATAAAATAAATTAAACAAATATTAGACCATATTAGAGCTATATAAGGTTAAAATAGAGCAAAGTCAACATATTTATAAGATTACACTAGGTCTAACTCATATTAATTATGTATAATGACTTGCTCAAGAAAAATATTCATTAAAGAATCAGGCATGATTAATTTAATATTATAAATAAACAAAACATTTTTTTAAAAAAGACAAAAGTTTAAAATTAATTTATTCTTAACAGGTAAAATACTGCAAAATTTTAAGTACATAATTTCATGTGTAAAATTTTATATAGTAGTCACAATGTTTTCTTTTTGATAATTAAACAAATCAAGTGATGTGATACTTACTATACTGGCAACTAAGATTAATTATTTGGATTAACTTCTCCGCCAAGCTAACATTATAGTAGTGTTTTGTCTACAAAATAAAGGTCATTATTAGTTTCAATACAAAAAAAAACCATTAAAATAAGAAAATTTACAATTAAATATATCAGAGTTATAACAAAATGCAAAGTGAATAAAATTATTGTAAGTTGTTAAAAGAATTATTTAAATTAAAATGTTAAATTATGGCATGATGGTTATAATGGTAAATTCTTAATAGTAAAGAATTTATTTCTCTTAACTAAGTTGTACATAAATCTTTTTTTGCCACAAGCCTACATAGCTTACCGAATGAGATCCTTCACTCAAGGTTAAATTTTTTGATCTTACAATTTGTTTGTTTAACATTCATTAGCATACATACAAAAAAGTTTTTTTTATATGTTTTTTCTTCCTTCCTTCTTTTTTTTTTTTTAAAAAAAAGAGCAAAAATAATGTTTATGGGTGATTCTTAGGAAACATGATAATTTGAACCAAAAAATTTCTTCAAATTTAAAGTCTTCAAAACAATCTAAATTTTTTTTTGTATATTTACTTAGTTACATTTATTAATATCTTACAGACAGCAGTGTAGTTTATTGACATTTACTCAAGAAAACAATAAAATAGAAATTCACCACATTTTGAATGCCAGAAAAATGACATATTAGCATAGAAGTTTGAAAAAACAGTCATTTTTAGCCATTAGTAAGTAACAAAACCTAAGCCTTTACGTTAGATGGATCATGAATAACTTAAATTCTTTTATCTACTATAGAAAGAATCAAAAAAATTTTTGTTGCTGATATGTACAGAATAAAATTGCGTAAAATAATCAATCATTAAATTAATAAATAATTTTGATTACATTCAATCTTATTACAATCATACATAAGCTTGGTATTAGATTAATATTTGCTTTCTCTCCTTAGAGTATTAGCAGAAATCTCTGGTAACATTTCAATGTCCTGGTATTCATAAGCCAGGAAAATGACAGCCAGGATAATGACAAATTCACCATTTTATAGCATATAACTTTACTTCAAATTAATATTTTAGCGTAAGACGTTTATATTCTGCAGAAAACAACAGGAATTCTTAAAATAACTCAGATAAATCAATGTAGTTTATGTTACTAATGACTTCAAGAAGCCAGGAAAATGACAACACAAAAACCTACTAAGTGAAAAAAGTTTAAAAATAAATTTTTAACCAGTAAGTCGGTTCTTTATTCATGCAACAAAACATGTTCAGATAGGAGGGTATCTAATCAATCTATTAACATAAGATATTGATTGATGGCTCTATCTATTTTGGTTATAAACCACTAAATAAAAGTAGCCAGGAAAATGACAGATTTTCCTGTGACAAACAAATTATTGACAGAAAAAATTCTTTCAAAAGAAGTTTTTGTAAATAATGCCCTCCGCTTATATTCTAGAAATGATTAGATATAGAAAAATTTATGGGAAGTTTTGAAGCTACTTATTATTGGAAACATTGTTTGTGACATGCCAGAAACACGAAATTTTAAAGTTCAATTTAATTTTTTTAATATACAAAATAGTCGATGCTGGTACTAGGTTATTTAGAATGCTAACAGCAATGCTATTTATTATTTTTTTAAAAAAAAGTTCTTTTAGTAGTTTAGTATTAGATCTTGGTGCAAGTGACTGTAAATTGTCATATTTCGTGAGAATCACCCTCACACAAACACTTAAGTAAGAGAGTTATTTACATAACAAACCAGCATTAATAAAAAACAAAAATTAAAAAAAAAAAAAACTTTAAACTTAAAACTTTAAACTTAAACTTTAAAGCAATTTTCAACAAATACATTGCTGTTGTAATACAGGCAAACCTCAGTAAGCAATAATCGTGATATAAATTAGAAATATCCAGTATTAATAATAAAGATATATCGGCGAACAAGAAAATATTAAAACATAATGATTGAGTTAACACTGAACATTATTATAAGCAAATTGATATTATCTAAGTTAATAAGTACTAAATGTAAGGGCAAGTCCTTAAAAATTTTATTTTAAAACAATGTTATAAATGTTTAAGTTAAGTATTTTCTTATGCTCAGAGATTGGGGAAAACTTTTATTTTTCTTCAGAAAAATAAATATGCCTGGGAAGAAGAAAAAATAAAAAAAGCTAACTTTGTTTAGTAATTTTTTACTTATGTAATCAAATTTTATAATAATTAGTTCTCATCAAATATGAACTTTTTTTCTCCCTCTTCAATGCTTATTGTTCAGCCCTTCAGCATCCTGTTAATTTTTGTCAAAATTTGAAGGGATAAAAATACATGCTCAATCCGAATTTTTACATGCATTGCAGGCAATATAATTTTCGATTACTGACATGGAAGGCAGAAACAACTGCTCAAGATTTTTGGAAAAGTTAAAAGAAAATCATAATCCAACGGTAGATTATTAATAATTGAAAATGATGATACATACATAATTAACATAAGAAGCATACATGCATATATTTTTCAGTAAGATAAAAATTTCAAATGTCAAAACTTACTTCAGACTTATCAGATGGCATTAAAACAGTATCTAAAACATCCTGACTAATTCCTGAAGAAAAAAAAAATAGATAGATTAATGCATCAATACATTAATATAAAATTTTTTTTCATGAAATGTTTACTAAACCCAAAATATATTTGCTGTTAAAACAAGCAACTAGATTAAACAACACATATTTGTTTTATAGTAGCAATTGTCTAACCCGAAGAGCCTGAGTACCAGTTTACTTATAAAAATAAAAGGCATATTCTTCGATTGATTTAACTTACACAAGTGTGAAATCGAAGCAAATTAAAAAATCACTGCTTGACTTAGAAAGGTTTGATGAAGGTTTCAGAGTTAAGAAGTAATTTAAACTTAAAATAAATTAAAATTGAAGCTTATGCACGGTTCATATTAATTTGTTTTAAACTCAACAAATCCCATTTGTAACAGTCAAATATAAACTATAATTTTTATATTTAAATATACTTCAACAAGAAATGCAATTTTAAAATATTTCATCATATATATGGAGAAATAAAAAAATTTAATACCTGCATGAACGCATAGGTATATTTAAAATATTTTACTTCAAATTCTACTTGCTACACTGAATACTATTAGGGTAAATTTCAATTACTATATTAATCAAATAGAGTTAACCTGGGAGAAGTATTTTTCACATCCCAAAATGTCGTATTAATTTTATTTAGATTCAATTTGACAGCAAATTGTTTATAAAAAATATATACAAATGAACTTTAATACATACCAGCTGAAAAATATGTTCCAAATAGATTAAGCAATGAAATTAAAATTAAAAAAAAGTTAGTACTATAATATTTTTTTAAATATAAAAATTACGAAAAAAAGCATATGATTTGCGAAATACATAATAGGTTATGTAGCTAACAGGTTTTTTAAAAGACAGTTTTAGAATTTCAGAACAAAATATATGTTACCAAAAATGTATTTTAATCAGGTTCATATTGTTTTAACCCACAGATGGTTTTGCAGGTAAAAAGCTGTATTTTAACCTGTAGTCTTCTCCACATGGAAAAGCAGCTTTTCCATGTTATTAGATAAGTCAAACAGTGTATTGGGGAGAAACATTTCTCCCAAATTTGCCCATTTACTGAACCCCCAGTGGGTTAAACACTTCTTCATGTATAAAAATTTAATTTTAAGTAAAATAGAGTTACTGTAAAAAAAAATTTAAAGCGCTTGAAGAATAAATGAAATACTTATTTCAAAATATATACTAATTGTAAATTCTCTCTACATCAATACCTGTTGCAATAATATTTGGTAATCCAAACAAATTTAGACAGAAACCAAAATTTATCTTTCTTCAATATAATATTTTGGGCAGCAAGAAAATTATAAAACACAGTAGCAATATTTCAGTGTTCAGATACCTGGTAGAGAAAAACCATTTTCTTATTTTATCATCTCATGGCATTTTTTTAAAATTTAGTATATGAATTTTGCGATATATATATTTCATATGGATTTTAAGATTCACCCTTTCCCTTATGGCTGTTGTCCACTAATAACTATTTTAAGGTTATTGCCCACTTCCTATGCCACCCAAACATATTCATTTTAGTAAAAATGGACCCCACTACTAAACAGGGCTGGCAGGATTTAAATTACTTGATTTTTCTTAAAATCATTTAAACAATATAATGAATATATTTTTAAGGGTGTGGTTTCACTTAATATTCGGATCTGATGGATAAAAACATTTTCTTTTATTTCTTTTTATTAAGAAATAACGAAAAGGGAAGTGCATAAATTCAGACTTAAAAATGAATAAGAGTGGAATTGAATTGACAAATTGCTTCCATATTTTTAAAGTTTGTGAGGAAATCTGGTTTCAACAAAAATAATTATGATTTTATTTGTTCAGTATTTAGTTTATATTAATATAGAAAGCTTATATTATAGTTATATTTTATTTGTTCAGTATTTAGTTCATATTAATTAAAAAATAATTTTAGCAACTTTACAAACAAACTTGAATTATATAAGTTATTATATTCAGGGTGCGTAGCCAAATCTTTGAATCAAAAATAAGCACTTTTTAAAAACTTTTCAAGCACTTTACAAAAATTTTTAAGCACTCAAAAAATTCACATTCAATCAATGATATTATTGAAAAACAAAAACTTCTTATAAAGAGTTTTAGCGTTAAAAAAAACCCAAAAAGAAACAGATGTAAATCAAAACAATCAGTACTTTCCCACATCTTCGAGTGAATTCAACTTGACCTTGAACTCAGAACAAAAGTACCCTTACCCCCTACGTCAAAAAAGTGTTAGAAGTAAAATAAAATAAACAAGAATAAAATTAAAATAAATTAAAAAGAAAAACATTTAATAAGGATCTGACACTATCCGAATTGGAGCACTCGGGTTTCAGTTTTGAGTGTGCGCGCATGCGCAAGTCATAACGTGGGTACGACATGAAGTCCGCGTGAATGATTACGTAGCAAACACCCCATTTTTCGTGAAATGCAGGGGATCCGCCAGATATCACTGAAGGAAAAAAAATTTTTTTGTGGGAAAAAAAGCACTTTTTAAAAACACCAGCTGAAAAAAGCACCTTTAAAAGCTTTTAAAAACGAAATCCCCCAAAAAGCACCTTTAAGTACTTTTTACAAACGCTACGCACCCTGATATTGTTTTTAAATAATATTAATCAATTATTATATTTTATTATCAATTATTAATCAATTATTAAATGTAAAAAGAGAAATAAACAAATAAATAAATATAAAAAAACTAGTTTAAAAATTATGATTTTGCCAACCCTGTAATTAAGCCTATTTCATGATAAAAAGTTAACAGCCCTTACTGGTTTAATTCTAAATCCTCATAATAAATTATAAAAATAACACATATCAATTATAAACTTGAGCACACAATAAAAAAATGCACTATTTTATTGCATCTAAGTTTATGATGTCTGTATAATTTAACAAACTTTAAAACTCTGTGCTTTTTTGTATTACAAATTTAATGTACACATACCTCTCTAAAAGTATCTTAATTAAGTTCCTAAATTAGTTGCAATAGGAGTTAGCAGGATGTATCATTAGTTATTATTATTTTTAATCTAAATAGGAACATAGAATAAATAAAACTAACCAGGATTATATCCTAATGCATATAAAACACATAAAGAAAATAAGGTGGCATGGTCATTTTCACTACAATCTAATGCAGAAAATATGGCTTCCAAGAATGGCCTAAAATAATAAAAAAAGACAATTTTTAGGATTTAATTTATAAGAGAGCAGAATACAGAGATATTAAATGTATATATGAATGATTTTTTCCCCACGATTTTTGAACTAAAGTAACCTTTTAACAGTCAATCTGAAATTTTCTTACGATATGATCTAGTCCACTAAATCGATTTTTTCACAAAATATATTAATATTCTTTGGGTATTCCATGGAAAAAGTGCTTAGTTATAATTTACACAATTAAAAGTTTATTGAGAATTAAAAGGCCAATAAAGGATTTTTTTTTAAATAAAAACACTTCTTAATATTGCCCTTTTAGTGCAATTAGTTTATAATTTTTCACTGTTCATACTTGTTAGAGAAACTTGATCTTCCAATTGAACAGATTATGTCAGGAATACATTATACAATTAACAAAATGAAGAAATTAATGGCAGTCTAATGTTTTGAACCAGTTGGAAAATATGCAGCGAAGTTTAAAAATTACAATATACACTAAAACTTTGATAGATAATTTCTATTTTTCTTTCTTCATTTGTAAGAACGATAGATATGGGAAAATAAAAAAATTGGTCAATAGAAAATATCAAATAATTGTATGAAAATGTATGCAAAAGAATAAAGAATGAATGAATTAATAAATTTAGGATAAGCATAAAAAATTTTAATTACAAAAATTATGTTCTTAACAAAAATATTATGATGTAAAAGAAGGATAAATAAATACATTAATTTTATTTTGGAAATTCTTCAAGGCCAGCTGCAAATGTTGGCAATGACTGTGGTTCCATTTTGCATTCCTCATCGAAATCACTCAACACTACTTCAGCTTTTACAACCATTTCTTGAACCGGCAATACCATAAGCTCCAAATTTTCATCAATTGATGCAATAACATCAAATATTATGTTTCAGAAGTTTTACCCATCCTATACTAAATCCTCATTTTCTTCTATACTAAATCTTTTACACATCAGGAGTTAGCATTTTTTTCTCGAAAAACAAAATATCTTCAATATTTTTTTAAATTTTGAATATTTTTTGAATGATGGGGGTAGGAATCTGCATGTTTCAAAACCAATTGAAGGGGATATTAATAAAAATAGCATTCAAGATGGGACAGTTGAAACTAAACATTATATACAGTAAAACGAAAGATGCAGGAATGATTGATCGATGTTCTACTGTATTTTAAATAAAATTATTAAAATAAATTTGTATTATTTTTAAAATAAGACTTATCCTATAAATGAATTTAAGTGTTTTGATTGTTCTTTCTTGATGGGAAAATTTAACCTACCAAACAGGAAAAATAATAAATCATTCAAATTATATCTGAAAACTAATATAATTAGTAGAGTAAGTTAAAGAAATGTGACTGAGATTACAGAATTTTATATCATTACAAAATAGCATAAAAGTATTTTAAATAACATTAATATTGTCTACACTCTTCAGTATGGCCTCCTGTTACAGCATTCCTTTTATTACAACCAATGGAAAAAATTCCATTTGCTATTTCATAGACCAAATGTTAGTTTAATGTTCATTAGAATGAACATTCATTGACTTAAATGTTCATTCCAATATAGAGACCAAAATTCAGTCATTTGATTAAGAAAAAGTTTCAAACAAATTTTTTAACCATTACTTCCTTTGATGTTATCACACGATTAATGGGAAGCACTTTAGAGTCTCCTTCAAACAAAGGAAGAGTGACCTGATACCCTATATCCTTGGGTGGTCCTAATATATGGTCAATCATAATCTGTGTAACTTAGTAAATAATAAATCCAACAGTCATACTGTTCCTGCTCGAAAATTGAATTCATTCCTTTAATAAGATGTCGATCATCTCATATGATTTAATTTTTAATTAAAAATTGTGGTTTTCATTGTTATCTTGACATATGTTAATTATCAAAAATGGCAACCATCATATAATTTGTGGATTTTCCACCTATGAAGTATATTATTTCAAAATAATACTTTTACATATAAACATAAAAAAAAGTTGTATTATTACCAATTTTTCTGTCAGTTGCAGAATTCTTATTAAAGTAAAACATTTCTATGTTAAGACGGGTCACGTTCATTAAAGTTTATTTTAGCCATAAATTAAAATTTATGGTATTTTTAAGCAGTCATGATATAATCTCACATTACACTGTCTGTTTTACCTGGGCACAAGGGTCATTAAATCTAGCCTCAACTGATAAATAAATCTGTTTCGAATCAGACATTGAAGATTGCCAAAGAAAATTTAAAATTATGTTTGTAAATTGAAATGAAAAACTAATATTAAAGTTTCAGTTTAATAGAAAAGAATTCAGTAGGCCAAAACTTATTGATCCATTTAAATCAGAGACCAGTCCAGGATTTCTAATTTGAAGCCAATTTTTGTGAAATATTTCGATTGCCAACCAATTTTTGGGAATAATTTTAGTGCAGTTTAAATTTTTGTGCAAAAGTATAATTTCTTGTAGAATAAGTTTTTAATGTCATTAATAATAACGAACTTAAATTACTTAGACAAAAAGAAAAAAAGTCATTTTAATACCTGTTAGTCAATGAGAAACTTTGCTGTAACATTTCAGAATTTTGACTATTTCTGTGGCCTTGTTGAATTGATTTCTGAGCAGCTTTTACCTTTTCCTCATCAGACAAATTGGAAGCTTCTAACAGAAATAAAAATGAAACATCAGAATAAGCATGAAAAAGAAATTCAAATAAGATATTTAAACATTTGAACAGCTGGATTTGTTATACACACTCTATACTATCAGAATAGTATACAGTGTGTATAACAAATACACACTTCAAAATCACTTTAAAATATCTCAACCTTTAGATGCTGATGTATCCCTTTTATAAATTTATTTTCTGATGCCCTAATTACAAATAAAAATATAATATAATTTGGAATATTTTTTTTTGTTTATAGAAGAACAGTCTAATAGTTACTAAAAATCTGTTTGATTTTCAGAATTATATTTGTTCTAAAATATAAATTCCAGAAAAAAGTAGTTTTAATATTTTATCATTCATTTTCAAAGATTTATGAATAATTGATTCTGTAAATAAGAGAAATTCCATTGATGAATTAATTTTTCTCTTAAACCTAAAGAACTGTAAACAAATGTAAGGTTGAAGAAGTATTGTTAGGAAAATTTTACCCTTAAAGCAAAAAAAAAAAAAAAAAAAAAAAAAAAAAAAAAAAAAAAAAAAAAAAAAAAAAAAAAAAAAAAAAAAAAAAAANATTCGTCTGGACCTGTGGGGGTGACTATGGTAACAAGGTATAACTATTTCAAATAGGGGTGTGGGTCACTATTTAGGATATATTTTGTCTCGGGTGGGGGAGAGAAAGGGAATCATTTTTCTTCATATTGCCCTAAAGCAGTGTTTCCCAAAGTGTGGTACGCGTACCCCCAGGGGTACGGGAACAGTTTAGCGAGGGTACGCGTCCTTATGCGAAATATCTTGCAATAAACGAAAATTTCAAACAAACTTATTTAAAAACAAAGCTAGCCATGAAAATTTACGATTACGTATTTTTCTATTTGCTATTTTTTGCGGAGTTTGCAGTTAATAATTAGTGGTGTCAACAGCCAGTTGTGATTTTTAACTTTTGTGCAATTTTTTTATAGTAAAAAATACACTCATTTTTTTATTAGTGGTACACAGCATTACGAAAAATTTATAAAGGGTACACAAAAGTCATAAGTTTGGGAAACACTGCTCTATACTATCAGAATAGTATACTGTGTGTATAACAAATACACACTTCAAAATCACTTTAAAATATCTCAACCTTTTGATGCTGACGTATCCCTTTTATAAATTTATTTTCTGATGCCCTAATTACAAATAAAAATATAATATAATTTGGAATATTTTTTTTTGTTTATAGAAGAACAGTCTAATAGTTACTAAAAATCTGTTTGATTTTCAGAATTATATTTGTTCTAAAATATAAATTCCAGAAAAAAGTAGTTTTAATATTTTATCATTCATTTTCAAAGATTTATGAATAATTGATTCTGTAAATAAGAGAAATTCCATTGATGAATTAATTTTTCTCTTAAACCTAAAGAACTGTAAACAAATGTAAGGTTGAAGAAGTATTGTTAGGAAAATTTTACCCTTAAAGCAAAAAAAAAAAAAAAAAAAAAAAAAAAAAAAAAAAAAAAAAAAGACAACATTGTTATTATTTTATAACCAAAAATTATTAAAATAAATGCTAAATATAATATTTTTCACTTATTTTGAACTAAATTAATACAAAATAATGAAAAAGCTTAAGAGATATGTATAATGAAAATTCTGCATCAAAAGGTTAATAGTCTACATAAAATGCTGTTGGCATAACCTCACATTTTATGAAAATAAAAAACTTTAAACATATTAGAACTTTTTTTTTTACTGCTTTTAACAAATTTTAATGAAGCACAAAAAAGTTTGAAATTAATGTAAAAATATTCAATTTTAGAATAAAAATTAAATTTAAATTTTAGTCTTTATAGATTACAAAATCTTCAATTATTATATAATACTTGAATTGAAATAAAAAGAGATCTTTTCAGAAAGCGTATACTAATTTAAGATTGAATTTACAAGTTTAAATAAAATATACTACACTAAATTCAAATATTGTTAAAGAATGAAACTGGAAGATTTCATGTCTGAAGTTATGTTAATTATTGAGTTCAACATTTGTAATAAATAAGAGGCATTAAATGTTTGTAATACTTAAGTACAAATTTTTCTTAAAAATGCATTTTATCAATTCATTTAAATTAAACCCATTATGCATTCTGAAATTAAAATTCATATTATTATTATAAGTAGAACATTTTTAAATTACATTTTTTGGTGCACACCATAAAAATAAAATTGGACAAAATTTAACCTGGAGAAATTATGAATTTATTTTTACAAAATCAGACTGAATATTTTTACTCTGTATTATGACACTTTGACAGAAGCCTATTATATTTAATTTACTCAAATACCGAAAATGACACTGAAAAAAAATTTGAGGATTGGAAATCAATTATTCAGTATCATATTTTATTTATCAAATTAAATCTTTTGATGTGCAAAACTCTATTTTCTTGTACAAAATCAATGTCATCAAAACTATGATTATGCAAAGTTAGCTGTTAAGCTAAAAAATATTAAATAAGAGGTCAGTGAGTTTCTTTGATTGCAGTTAAGAAAACATTACAATGTCAATTAGACAGACTATATAGCAAAGACTAAAAAATATAAACTCAGAGGTAAACGATATTCTTTTAACATTGCAAATTGAAGAACAGCAAACAAGTATCAAGAGCTTTAAGGAGCTATATAGACATATGCAAAGCGTTAGAGATCAAGTTTCGTAAGAATGAAATGAGTACTCTCTTGGGTTAAATGATAAGTTTTTCTTGTAAAGGATCAAGAAGAATCTGAATCTATCTGGCTGAACAAGATATAAATATCTTTTTGTTAATATTGTAGTCAAACAAAAGACAATAAGATTTGAATTTAAACAAGAGTTCTATTTATAAAGCAATTATACTATTGTATTTATCACTAAACACAGTAATAAATTCTTAAACAGAAGAATTCACAAAAATTAATAGCAATTCTGAACTGAATTTTTTTCTTAATAAAATGTCAGATACTGTCATGTTCACATCTACTCAAGAAATAAAATAAAAAAAGTCTCATCTCAATAGCGTAGCTCTTAGTTGAATATAATTTATTTGATGCATAATAATAACATCTTAAATTAATTTCAAGGTTAGATTATATTTGAGGCAATTAGAGTAGAAATCAAAGTTTTAAATGCATATTTAGTCACATTTGTTTCAAAAAGATTATTTAAAATGGAAAATAATTGATTTATTGGCATTAACATTCCTTCAATATAACAGGACTTACATTAACAATGAAAAAATGAATTTAAAGGAAAAAATCAAGAAGAAAAAATTATTAATGAAAATTCATGTTTGAAAATCATAAAATTAAAGAAAATTTTACCTTCAGGGTTGCTTCCATCAGTATACTGATCATTATTTCTGATTGCTTCCTGTTCTTGGGCACCCAACAATTGTAAAGGGGAAAATGATGAAGAGCTATCATTGGGAAAACTGTGTGCCTATAAATAGCATGCATATTAAATTTATTAATGCAAAACTAATGATTTGACTTTGACTGAAATACATAAAAGTTAATTTTACAGACCAATTTTAAATTATAGTACTAAGAGAAATTAATTTATTTAATGACTAAGAAAACTAGAAGAATTTATTAATGGTGATGAAACTGATGGTCTATATTGTACTTTATAAGCTTTAAAAGGAGATCTATAGTTAAGGCCAATTTTTAAAATCTTTCATTTAAAAAAATCATTTACTTTAATAGTTTTCAGGTAAAAAAGAGATAATTGACATTTATGGAAAATAATTTGAAATGTTTAAATTAAATTCTTGCGTGTTGTGTGATTTTTCTAAATACTCGAAATTTTTCGGATAACTTGTATTTAACTGGTTTTTGTACTTTCATACTATTTTGTTGTTGTCAAAACTTGTAATTTTGTCACAAGTTCTGATACAAATTTTTATGCCTAGAAAATTGAAAAGATTAGCTAATGACCTAATTTGGCTAAAATTGCAGCTTTCTCATACATACAGCAAATTATATTTTTCGAAGCTAATATTATGCAAATGTGAGAAAAGGGAACATTTTGGAGCAGGTTGAAGCAATTATATCAAAGTAGTAGCAATTTAAGACAAGCCAAATTTATAACAGACACCTAAACAATTACTGCTTCTGAAAATACTTATCTCTACTAGATTTTGAATTATATCATTTTATAACATCTCTAACATAATAACCACGACACAGCAAAGGTAATCTTTTTTCTAAAGAAAGAAGAAATGCAAGAAATTAAAAATTTTCTAAACATTAGATGTTAATTTAAAAATTTGGGAAGAAAAATGAATTTTTTTTTGCACTTAATTAGAAATAATCTATGGCCTGTATAGCACCAATATATTTTAAGTCATAAATTGTTAGACTACTTTAGTAAATATAAGTGCAAATTCTCCTGTCAAGAAAAGTTTTTCCATTAAACACACAGAAAAACTAGTTTACAGTGTAAGAGGCTGAACCCTAAACTCAGTCAACAAGTTTTAACAGTTTAAATTCACTACACTAATAAAATAGAAAAATTTCTAATTACTGAATAATTAGTTATACAAATGTAATTCTAACCATAAAAAAATCAAATGTTTTAAAAGATAACTTTACAAATACAATAAAAAAATTATTTCATGATTTAATAGCCAAAGCACAAAAGTTACAAATATTTGAAAATAGCAAATTCAAACAATAAACAAATCTATTATCATTAAAATAGTTAATTAGAAAATTTTTGTATGTAAACAATTAATAAGAAGAATCCTTTATGAGGATTTTAAAAGTGCTACTTACAACAATATTTTGTGAGCCATTTGCAAATAGTGACATCTTTGCATTAAGTATAATATTTGCAAGTTTTTGAACAAGAGGCTTGTGAGATACTATCAGAAAAACCTACAGAATAAGATATTTTTTCAATAGGAAAATTCAACAACATAAAATCCATTAACTATTTTCAAATGTATTAAATGAAAAATGTCATGGGTTCAGGTAAAAAAATAACTCCAGTCAATTTTTTTATGTAAAAATAATTGGACACATTATTAGGACATTGTTTTCCAATAAGCAATTGATCCATGAAAAATGTTCTTAAAGCACTTTCAATTGATGTACAAACTCAGAAAAATATCAAATTTAAAAATATAAAAAAATCAATATAGTGCAACATTTATTCAAAAANTAAAATCCATTAACTATTTTCAAATGTATTAAATGAAAAATGTCAGGAACAATGTCATGGGTTCAGGTAAAAAAATAACTTCAGTCAATTTTTTTATGTAAAAATAATTGGACACATTATTAGGACATTATTTTCCTATATGCAATTGATCCATGAAAAATGTTCTAAAAGCACTTTCAATTGATGTACAAACTCAGAAAAATATCAAATTTAAAAATATAAAAAAATCAATATAGTGATCAAATATAAATCAATATAAAAATCAATATATTATTCCAAAAAGACATAAAAAATAATGGCAATAAAAGAACATGAAGACATGAATCAACACCAGTTTGTTGGAACCAAGAGAAGTTGTAAAACTGTTACATTACACTAAAAAAAAAAGAGATAAGAGGTATTTATCATAGATATAGCTAACACTATTAACTGATTTTTATTTAGTCTTTTATTAATTGCCCTGGTCAGAGACTAGTAACTCAAGTTATTTTAAAATAGTTATTATATTATTCATATAGTAATTTGTAAGACTTGAGCTAAACCATTAACTTTTCATTCCCCTCCTGGTAAATTTTACATACTTTACTACAGAATGCTCAATTACATTCTTGAATCATGCAAAAAACTTAGCACATCTAAATCCAAAAATACAGTTTTAAAAGCATTTTTATTTCATTAATTTAAAATTAACAGTTCTAAGAAGAAGAAAAAAAACAGGAAAAAAATTACCTAGATTGAATGTTAAAAAGAAAGTATTTGTTCAATTCGAGAACAATTTTGTTTCAAACATTCTGATCAATCTAAATTAAACATCCTTTTTATTATTTATCACAACAGTTTTTTTTCATAATGAAAGACACAAACAATATTACAATGATTATTAACACTAGAACTAAGAATTAGTATTACTTTACCTGAGACAGCAAAAATAGAGACACTATAGGACTAACTCTAGACTTTTCTTCCTGTAAAATTTAAAAGAAGAAAATTAGCTTATATCAGAAATATATGTTGAAATATATAGTATAATAGACTGTATATACAATATTAATAGACTGTAGTAAAAAAACATAAATAAAAAATACATAAATAAAAAGTTAAAGACTAAATTAGCATACACGAGAAAAGATATTGAAATATATATTACAATATTATTTAGCTGTAGTAAAAATAAAATAAATTGTATCCAAAAGTTATCGGCAAAAATTAATTTATTTAGGTTGTAATTTGTATTATTTTATCCTTTAATTTAATTTTAGTTATGATAAACTTCATTCAATATGAAATAACATAAATTAATGGTAAACTGTTTACCTCAGGACTTGAATTAGGAATTTTTTGTACAAGAGAATATACATATAATGGAACCAGTAATTTATTCAACAAATGATCAGTAAGAACATCATTCAAAGCTTCAATATGAAGGCACAATATATCATTCAGATAATGCAGATGATCTAAATGCTCAGCAACTAGGTCAGCCAATTTAGTTTGCACTTGTAATCTACAAAACATGAAAATTTTAATTTAGTATTTCTGAAAAGTGCAAAAAAATTTATTTATATAGTTTATGCTTTTCCATTAGAGTTACCTTTTCACTATAACAACTTATAAATTAAATCCCATTTTTACACCATAAATGTAATATTATTTCAATGCCCTATAGTAGTGTTTCCCAAACTTATGACTTTTGTGTACCCTTTCTAAATATTTCGTAAAGTTGCGTACCACTAATAAAAAAAATTATGTATTTTTTACTAGTTAAAAAAATTTTTTTTTTTTAATTTTCATTTGTTGCAAGATATTTTGCATAAGAACATGTATCCAAGTTAAACTGTTCCCGTACCCCTGGGGGTACGTATACCACACTTTGGGAAACACTGCCCTATAGAACATCCACACTAAGGCATTCATTTCAATATTTCAGTGAAACAAAAATTACTTTACACTGATAATAAAAAGTGTATATTGCATCATAATGTAGAAAACGGTAGGAAGTACCACGTGAATTCCTGAATTTAAAAGGATGCACTCACATTAATTATAATTTTTTGCTTTCAAAACGTTCAAAATAAATTTATTAATTTTCCTTTTCTTACTTGAAAATTTTATTGGCTCTTTCTGTGAAATGCTAGTCTCTTTGAGTGGTTTATTTTTGAATTAAAACAGATGTTTAATATTATATTTTAAAGGGTACTTTTACTTGGTTCCTTTTAAAGTAAAAATTTTCTTTGTTAAAATTGGTATAGTATCTTTCAGCTATGAATAAATATTTACAGAATTTTTAAGAACACAGGATATTTACGTCTATTTTCACCTAGAAAAAAAGGACTATTATATCCAGCAATGACTGAAAAATCATTTGCCTAAAATGAAAATGAATGAAATTTCTGAATGAGTGATAGAAATTGTAAAATCACAGTTGCACAGAAAATTTTTCTTGACGGAAAACAGAAAAATGTTTGACAAAATGCTCTGAGTTTAAACAGATATAAAAGCTCATAGTCAAGAGTTTATTTTAAGTTATGGATAACTATATAACAAAAATCATAAAAATAATGTGTTTTAAGACAATTTACAACATTTTTAAAAGTAAGAATTGAAATCATGGGTGAAAGTTGTAAAATTTTTAAAGGAAAGAAATATTAAAATAATAAGACAGGGATGTGATTGACAAAAACACAAAAAAGAGGAAGTTTATAACTGTANTGACATGTGAAGAAAGGTTTATTGGGGGCTTCAATACTTTCGCTCCGCGGAAGAAAAAAATTTTCAACAAAATATTATTTACTGCATAAAAAATTTTTCCGCGCGGAAATTTATGAGAAAAGAGCGGAAGATATGGAAAAATCTGAAAAAAGCGGAAATCAGCGGATCCGCGGAAGAATCACATCCCTGAATAAGATCAAAGCTTTTAAGTAAAAAAAGACGATTCATTAAACTTATATCATTAGATCAAAAGATTAGTTTGCTGTTTGCTCTATTTTTTTCACATTTATTCAATTTTAGAATAAAAATCGTAATATTTATATACCCAATTTTTTTAAATTGTACAAAAAATTCAAAAAGAAAAACAAAACAAAACTATTATTCATTGTTGTTGTTTTAATAACAAGCTAGGCGAAAATCGATTCAAATAAAACTCAACTGACAGATTTTTATATAATAAATAACTATTCCTTATATACTTTTATACTGTTTGTTCTCATTCAGTCTAAAGGTCTTTTCAATTTTTTCAAAAGACAAACTTTATTAATCTATTTATTGTACACTTTTGAATTACCCTTAACTACTTTTAAACACAGGCATCATTTAAAAAAGATGCTGTTTCACCTTTTTCATTCACTAACAATTTCATAGTTATTTTTTTTCAATAAATCAATCAATGCGAAAACCTTAGGAAAAGAATAAGAAGAAAAATTTCAATAAGCTCAGAAGATGGATAATATTTAACAAAACAAACATAATTTAAAGCAAATTTAATTCCTACATTTTTTCTATATTTTTTTATTTTTTACCCTGAAACATCTGTTGAAAATAGACATTAATAGGCTTTATTAAAGCATATACATGCACAATATACTTACATTGATTTTTAGTTAAGAAAATAAACACTAGCTCTACAAGAGAGCTTTTCTAATGTGTCCACTATATGTCGTACTATGCATAAAAATCTATCATAATCATTCAACAGCTACAAATATCAATTCTGGTGTTGCACGATTGCATGCAACTTAGATATAGTTTGTGTTTGCAGATAAAAATAAACCAAGCAATAAAAATATGCAGGCCGAATCAAGTTAAACATTTTTTAAAAAAAATGATTTCCCCTGTGTTAATAGCTAATCTTTCATCTTCATAAATTAAATTTTTATTTCCTCTAAGTTGAATTTTTAAGTACATACATTATATTTACATACATAATTGATATATATGTAGTTAATCTATATCTACATACACAACATCTCCATACTTTAACACATTCTATGCAGATAAATTTTAATAATTTTTCAGTGTTGCAGATCAAATACAAAGATTCTGCTACTAGTTTTGGTGCAAGTTTGCAGGGGTTTTACAGAATTATAAAAACTTGCAATTAGAAAAAAAAACATGCTAGAAGATACATGGTGTAAAGAAATATTATATTAAGAAACCAACATAACATTTTCATCTATTAAGATTAATGATAAAAAAAATGGGTGTATCATGGTATTAATAGTAATTATCATTCATAACAGTTGATAAGCAAAATAAACACTTACTCAGATGCTGATTTAACACACTTATCTAATTCCATCACATGTTGTCCGATGAAATAAACCAGATTAGAAAAATATGGTGCAGCAGTTTTATCTCTGATAAATTTTAGCATGGCTTTATCATCCACTGAAAGAAAAAAAGACATAACTTAAAAACCCATCTACAGGGATAATTGAATGTATAGATATAGCTCAAAAATTTAAGCATTTTCAAAAGGTCTATGTATTTACCAAATTCAAGGTATCAAAATAGTTTTAAAATTTCCCTTTTTATACGGAAAAAGGTGCAAGTCAAAAGTGCTTTATGATATTACATACCTTTTACCTTTATATTACATACCTTTTAATACTTTTTGAGATTTCTCTATAAAGAACAAATTTTTCTCAGCTTCGCTGCTATTGTAGACCATATGCTGGCCGGTTATATTTTGCATTCTTTCTTTTTCAAATTTTGTATTGAAAACTTTTTCCCATTTTAAAAAGTTAGTAACTTCTAAAGTCAAGAAAAAAAATTAACAAAAGTTATAATCATGTGGGTGGTTTTATTTAGAAATTAGGGTTAGTGGAATTACTTTATAACAGTTGAACAAATATTACCACTATGTACTTCTTGTAGAATTTGTTAATGTTTGTTTAGACTTAAATACCAAACTGTTTTTTGAAACGCAGAATGTTTAGTTTATCAAAACATAAACAATACTTTAGTAATTGTAAAAAAAAACTGTTTCTAACATACCATAAATGTCTAAATTAATTTTTTTACACAATCATCAAGTTTACTTCTGCAGTTCTTAACTCTGGTGGTATAAAGAACATCTGTGGTACATGGTAAACTCAAAATCAATTATTTGAATATTAAAACTAAATATGGTAAACTCAAAATTAATTACTTAATTATTTTGACTTTGAATTTCATGATGGATAAAAAATATAAAGTCACCTAAAGTAACCATCCCTGGGAGGCCTCATAATTTTTATTGCCTTCTTTTCTAAAATTTAAATTAATGCGAATAAAAAACTTTCTGCAAACACAAAATCTAAATAAAAATACTTTCTTTGCGCATTGATTAACTCGTTCACTAGTTTCATCGTTAAGCACTTTTTAAAAACGCTACACACTCTGTGCACAAACATTACATTTAATGATGTTTCATTCATTACTATATTTCACTTTCTCATTTATCTTTTAAATATTACCTAAACCATTTATTTAGCATTTAATGTTTCACTTATATGTAGGTATACATAATGTGGTTTATGGTATTTCAAAATAAACAATTTTATAAAACATATACAGGTTAATGTTAAGAACAGCTAAAAAATTAAAAAATAAAATAAAAATACAATTCGATAACTTAATAAAGCATGTTGAGTTAATTCCTGGCAATTTTAAATATACATGTATTTTTAAACATACTTACCAGAATTAAAGAACAATTAAAAAAAAGAAATAATAATGACATAAAATTTGACTAGTTTAAACAATATTATACATCTATATAGCATTATATAACATGCGTTTAAGAATTCAAATAGCTATAAGTATACAATTTTACTTTTTCTTACCATTTCTATAAGCAAATCAAAAGTTTTTGAGCAGTATTGGATAGTTGTGATATGTCTTACCTTTGAACACATTTAAAGTTAATGTTCGTACAGCAATTCGCACCATACTTTCACTGTGTTTAAAAAATTTAATTGCTTCATTGTAGAGAGGAAAATCATTTGTGTGCTGTAAAGAAATAAATAATTATTTAATTACATAATAAAATATAAAGAATGATTTCACAAAACAAGAAAGGAAAATATTTTTAATATATTTATTTGTGAATCATTATGAGACAGTTGTAACATAGTTTATTCAAAAAATAACAACTTCATTAATATATAATTAATGAAATTAATAATCTAAATTAGATAAGACATTGGACATAACAGTTTTCCTACAACTAGCACTGCAAACTTTTATAAGGAGACAACAATAAAATAACAGTGAAGATGGCTTTACGATACATTCCCGTCTTATATGTTGATATTAATTTTTAATCTTGTACTGTTTCTTTTTCCTGTCTTTAATAAATGTTTGAGATTGCTTATGAAAATAAGATTACTTCTTAGTGAAAATTCACAATAAAAGTTAACACTAACCAGACAATTACTCAAATTTTTTTTACTTACTTTCAGTAATAAATTACAGTTTTTATTTTAAAAATATTTAATTACATTATTAAAATTCATTCTTTAAATAAATATGAAAACAAAATGAAGTAAGTTGCAATTATTAATAGTAACTTTTTTCCATAACGTTTAAGTATTTTAAAAACAAAGAGGTCATCGAATACTTGATTGAGATCAAATACTTCATTAGAGAAATATTTATCACTATAAACAAACATAAAGACAATTAATATCCCTTTACCAATTTATATTTTTGCTTCCAACAAACAACTGGAAAGCATTAACATCACACATTAATAAGATACACACAAAAAGATATAATTTTAAAATTAATCATTGTGGAGCATTAGAATTCTATCAGAATGAAATACAGCAATTTATATGTCTTACAAATCATGAAAAAATTATAATTCAAGGGATAGGTGCTTAGGCTAGAATGCAGGAAGATAACGGATGCAAGAGAATTTTTTTGGTTCACACCCATAGAGAAAAAAATTAAAGGAAAACTCCATCAACTATGGATTGCTTGAATTGATGTGAATCTCAACACCTTGAAAGTTCAAAATTTAAAATAAATAAATAAATAAAAAATAAAAACTATTGCATTAATTAGGAATGTCCAGAGAAAGCTACTGGATGAGAAAGATTGAGAGGGTAAGTCATTAACTTCCCTATCTTTCTCATTTATTTGATCCTGGTTTCCTTCCTCTCTTTCCTGGGATGAAGAAAGAAGGAAAGGAAAGTAATACTATCATAATACTGCCACTAGTTACATATACAATGCTAATAATTTTAAATAAAACAATAAAAAAATTCAATGAAAATTTTTTATTCAAAATATTACATTAACTTACTTCATTGTAGAAAAAGTGAATAGTATGAGTATTGAGCTTCAAGGACAATGTCTTCAAAAATGAAATGTAATAAGCCATTACCTATGAAAAGAAAATTGAAAAGATTTAAATAATATTCTAATTGGAAAAAAACAAACATCCAACCATCAATAAATACTAATTTAATAAACGAAATACTGCATTTTCAAACCAATGTTGGAATTCAAAAAATATAATATTGAGACCAAGCATGTAATGGCATAATCTATTTCACAAGATTATCATAAGATCATGAAATTACAAGCTTTAAGTCATTCACAACTAAATTGCGAACAAAACATAAAAGGAAAACTTACTTCTTCATCTGAGAAATCAAATTTATGGACAATTATGGAATTCACATGATTGTTTGACAATAGATAATCTGAAATTTTTAAAAAAGGAGGCTTTATAAAAAAACAATTCACAATTGTTTATACAGAACATTTTAGAAGAAAAAAAAGAAACATTACGCTTCCTATATATTATCACAATTTTTGAAAAATATTGTGTTTTAAAGGAGGTGGTTTTTATTTTTATTTTAACCGGTCTTTTATGATTGATTTTTTTAAAAAAAACTTTTCTCGGCCGGTTTAGAAACATTGCAAAGGCTCACAGCTAAAAAAAATTTACATTCTATAATGCAAAACATGATCCACACACACACAAAAAAAAAAAGAGAAAAAGAGTTTAAACCATTAAAGTCAGGAGGGTTAAAATAACCAGATACAACATGTGATAAGGAAAATTTTAAGACAGAACAGATCCTTACAAAACTTTTTATTCAATTTAATATGTTTAACCTAGGGAGTGTGTTTAAAAACGGCCTTGTCAACATGCAATCATTCTAAAAATCTATCCACATAAAGCATTTTAGTAAAACGCTTAATCATTATTATTTTAAAACAAAGTGTTTTAGTTTAAAGCTCTTTAAATTTTGTTTCTATATACATACAAACATACACATTATACTTACATAGAGATGTTTCATTTCTAATGTTTTCAAACAAAATATTCAAAGTTTGCAATAATTGAACACAAACATAACGTCCACATTTCTGTTTCATTATCTTCAAAAAAAATGAGAGCATATTCTTTTCCAGGAAAAAGCTAAATAATTATAAAATATAAAATCATCTTAGAGAATATATTTTTAAATTATAAAATACAATATTTGAATGATAATATACAATAATTCACAAAAAGTAATGAAAACATGGGTTTATTTGAATTCGGCATTTTGTCATTTCAAATTACGTTTTTAAAATGGTTCAAAAATTATTATGATTACAATTCAAAATTTTTTACTATTATAACATAAAACAATATTATAAAATAAAATAATATTGTAAAATAAATAATTCTCTAAAATTATTTTAACACAGAATTATCTTTAGATAAACCAATTCTACAATTGAGAGCAGAAATTATCAATTTTCTTAAAAAGCTATGATAAAATATGCAAAAAAGAAAATTAGCCGACAAAAATATATGTTTATTCAGAGAAAGTATGTTTTTGTGTCTAATTTTGTAACCTAAAATATTGCAAGCACTAATTAATTAGCATATTTGAGGTCACCCCCTCACTCAAACCATTAAGATTGAGTCATAGAACATTATCTTTTTATAAAAATGGTAAAAAAAAATTCCGTGATGGTGACAAATTTTCCGCAAATGGTGGTCGCACTTTCGTGCGTATTACACAGTCTACAGTTTTAAATAACACACCACTTAATAGTAAAGAATTTTATTGTTGCTTGTAATTATCGCATAATTATAGTTATATTCTATTCTTCCAAGGATGCCAACTACTCCACCAGGGTTCCCACTCAATTTCAGATAAAAAATTCCCTGACTTTTCCAGGTAAATTTCAATGAAAATCCATACCATATTTTATCTATACTACAAAATTTATCACTAGAAAATTTGGATTTTTTTATTTGTTATGCCAAGTTTTAGATTTTTTGTGTAAAATATATATCATTATATGAGGAAGGAAGCAATTCAGTACGTCTAAAATGTAAAATTTTTACAATAAATAATTGTAATAGATGTTAGAATTATTTAACTCGAATCTCAATGACTGAGTATTGCTATAGACAATTTTAAGACTGGTTTCTTTCCAGGAATAATGAAGGAATTTTCCAGGTTTTTGTAAGAAAATTGCAAATTTCCCTAACTATTCCCTGATTTTTAGAGTTGAAATAAAATTCCCTGACAATTCCAGGTTTTCCCTGACTCGTGGGAACCCTGTCCACTTTCTGTTAAAGATTTCATAGAGTGGTAGCATATTTAAAAAAAAATTTTTTTTTTAGTTGTTTCCTCCTCTGAATAAAGGAGTAAAATCGAACGCCAGCAATAACATGACAAACGATTTCTTAAATAAATATGTTGCCAAAAAAGGATTTTATATAGATACACTTTTATTTATCTACTCATTGAAAACAATTTTATAAAATTATGTTTCGGGAAACGATATATTTGAACATTATAAGTTTATTTGTTGGTCATACGTAGCAGCGAGCAAAATAACTTTAGATCATAATTTCTAAACTATGAATGATACATTAAAACATCAATTTTTTTAATCACCAGAAAAGTTATTCCCCACAAAGCAGAGCAAGTTGACATCTGTTTTTTAACTAATAACCACTATGTTACTTTTCTGGTAATACAAACATTGAAAAATACTTTAGAAATAATACTAACATTAGAAATAATACAAGCAAATACACACAAATAATACATTAGAAATTGTTTAAAAATGCTTACTCAAAAACAGTACTATCATTTTGATCTCCCCAAATAAGAATTTCAGCTATTGATCGCAAAGTTTCAACAAGCAAGCTCTTGTTTTGCTCATTCACAGTTTGATTTTTATACAGCACATGATAGAGGTACCTACAAAAAAAAAAGACAAAAAATAAAAAAATTCATAAATACAACATAAAACAAATAAACAATTTTAGGATACTTAACACAATTCAACCGCTACCTTAATGGGTTATCAGCATGGTTATCTACCTTAATGGGTTATCAGTTATTTAGCATGTGAGGTTATTACCATGAATTTTAACATCTTTAAAAAATATATTTGTAACAAGGTTCTTACATGTTAAAAAGAAACATGTTTGTATCACGGACCTTTTTCTCAAGAATTTTTTTTTGTTGTTTTTGCCATTTCTATAAACGTCTTAAAACTAAAGTATAAATTAAGGAAGTATAGTAAGCAAGAACTTGGAACATTGTTATAATAATCTTATAAGCATAAAAGTAATCATGATTATTTTAAAATTTAATGCCCTAAAATTTTTTATACATGCTTTTTATAACGTTTATCATATACTGATGAATAAATTAGCCTAAAATAAAACATTTATACATTAATGTATTATCATTGGTCTTATGACTTTATAATAATTAAACATTCATATAATGTTCTTATCTTATTTTTAAATTTTTTCTTCTTATTTCTAATACATTATTGATAATCATTTTTGAAAATCATATTTTTATACTCTTATTTTATTTCAATAACTAGTGCAGGGGAAATTTGATCTAAGTACACATACAAAGTAAAATGTTCTTTTTAAGTGTAATTCTTGTAATTAAATGGCAAAGCAATAATATAGATAAGGACTCATAGTTGACAAAAAAAATATATATATCAGCATTTTTCAGATAAATCAGAACAGTGTATAGATCCTGACCACTCTTAAAAATTTTAAACTAAAAAAGATATAATGTACCATTTAAATATAATAAATTCAAATTTTACAAAAAATATAACAAAATATACCTACTATTTTTAATTTCAGAATAACTTTGCTTAAAACAGAAAGTTTTTAGAGTTTTTATATAATTTTTTAATGAAATGTTGAAAAGTTTAATTAATAAGTAATAGTTTAAAATCAATATAATCTAAAAATTTTCATAATATTTTTGCATTAAAAAATTTCTGTATTAATTTGGTAATATTCCCTCTAACCAATATTTAATAAAAAATTCATAAGGAATTTCAAGACTTCTTTTATCAAACAATTAAGTAATATTTCATTAACCTGCAAACCACATTTGAGTGAATATTCAACATTTTTACCCCTATAAATGTAATTTTGAAAAGAAAAAAATCAATCAGAAACCTCGTAAAAAATACCATGATTTAATAAAAATACTAAAAGGAGATTGCTAATTAAAAATAATTGCAAACAATGGAAAGATCCTCTACAATTAATCCATATTTATTCTTATTTTTCTTCGATATCAGTTATTGTAAGGTATAAATATTTAAAGAGGCATAATCAAATGACATCATTCTAGCTTCTTTTATTATTTTTTTTATAGCATTGGTAATTCAATGTTATCCCTTACTTTTATTTATCTAAATTTATCTTCCTCTCGTCTCCTTAGGCGGTCAAACAAATTTCACCTTGTTTTGCAAACTAGAGTTTGAACTCAGATTATTTATTTAGCAATAAGGGATCTAATTTCTGGACATTCTTATAACTTTTCATAGTAATTAAACATTTTGACTAATGATAGTAAAAAAAGTCAAAATTTTTCAGAGACAATTGTTCTGTAGGAGAAAATATATAATCATTATATAATCATTGACAAAATTACATCACCATGTTATCCAACATTGGTTTCTGAGCCTTAAGAAGATGCAGTTGCAATAAAGTTATAGCATACATTGATATAAAATAGTGTAATAACTCATATCAGTATAGATAGCTTGTTTAATGGTTAGTGACTTGCTCATATATAAGAAATATGCATTATCAGTGTTTTCACTACAGCGCGAGAGTCTTACATATTTTTTTCTTTTCTCACATTAAAAAATTATTATCGTGAGAAATTCACGCATTCTATAAATTAATTTCAAAATTCACTAATTTCTCGCATTTTGGAAAAAGCTTCGAATTACGCCTCTTAGAATAAAATCCGTTTCACTTTCCTTCCTCGATCTTTCATCATTTTCAACATCTGCCCCGTAATCTAGCTTCCCTATTTACCAGTATTGTTCAGAACCTTTTCGAACAACAGAACACAACCACGGAACCCTTTTCAGAACACATTTCTCTGCAACCATGTACCATAGGTAAGGTTTCTTCATGTAAGACGTTCATATTTTTTATGCATTTATGTAAGATGGACAAATACCTTGTAAAGGCAAAATCTTCTATGATGATGTACCAAAAATATTCAATGCTTTAAAAAATAGAAGACGTTAAAATTGTATTATAAGTAATTATTGTATTATAAGTATAAATTGTATTATAAGAAATGATTTTTTTTCAAGAGTTTTTGTGTTTTTTTAGTTTTTAGAAATCTCACCCTGTTTTAGAGAAAGGGTGAGAAATTCTCACCCATTTTTTTTCCATGATGAAAACACTGATTATGCGATGTCTAAGATTAGTTATAATACAGAAATTATAATTACTTATAATAGATATAAATAATAAACCACTAGAAATAGATAAATAAACATGGTTAATTGTTTCTACCATTTTCGCCATTGTTTTTACTGGTAAAAACTAAATTTTTACCATGTCACTGCAAAAACTCAAACCTAGTTAACAGGAAGGAAAGAAATTTTCTGTGGCTAATATTCTCTCATAACAGTTGTTTTTTTTTTTGTTGTTGTTTGTTTGAAATTGCCCTCCCTACAAAAAAAATATAACTAAAAACTTATCTAACATTTCTCAAATAAAAAAGATATTTATAATTTTTTCTTCAGTTTTTAAAGGACTCGGTTTTCTTCATTTTTCAATCTCTGTGGAATAATCTCAGTGTTTTCACTACAGAGCGAGAAGCCGAGAATCTCACATATTTTTTTTCTTTTCTCGCAATAAAAAATGATAAACGTGAGAAGTTCGCGCACTCTATTAATCAATTTCAAAATGCGCGAATAATGGAAAAAATTTCGTCTTTTGCCAGTTTGAATAAAATTTGTTTCACTTTTCTTCCTTGATCTTTCATTATTTTGAGCATCGGTCCTTGTTATCTAGCTTCCCTATTTACCAGTATTGTTCAGAACCGGTGCGAACAACAGAACACCCCCCCTCGAACCACGGAACCCCTTTTAGAGCACATTTCTCTGCAACCACTTGTTCACCGTAGGTAAGGTTTCTTCATGTAAGACGTTTATATTTTTTGTGCATGAATGTAAGATGAACGAATACCTTGTTACGGCGACATCTTCTACTCCGTAGCGGACAAATGAAAAAAATTTCAGTATAAACGGTCAAAACGAAACAAATACGGATATTTTTCAACCAAATAAATATAATAGCTGTTGAAAAAGTAGATATAGAACATTTTCCACATGATGATGCAGCAAAAATATTCAATTAGAAGATGTTAAAAATGTATTATAATTAAAGAAATAATTTTTTATCCAAGTCTATTTTTTTTTTAATTTTTAGAAATCTCACTTAACTTTTTGAAATCTCAACCAGTTCTCTCCCATTTATTTTTTGTAATGAAAACACTGAATCTATTTGATGAATTTCATTTATTAAAAGGCAGTCTTGACAAACAATGTTAGTTAACATTGTTTCTTCTACAGAAGGTGCAGAAAAAAAAAAGCTTTCAACTTCTAATTACTTTTATCATTTTGTTTAATGAGCTTTTCATTCATGAATGGCTATCAAAAATTGTCCAAACACAAACATTTACATTTTGAAAAGTACAACTGCATTTGCAATTAACTCAAAAATGTCAGTAACTCTAATTGATAGAGATGGATTTTGAGATTTGTATACGAAATACCATTGATGTGGTAACCTGGAGATTGCGTGCGTCACTCACAAAACTAGATAAAATTGTGATGTGTAATTTCTTAATCAGTTTAAGAAGTAGTAAAAAATATGATAAATAATATGATATTAAAATATGGTAAATAAAAAAACGAGGTTGACAAAAAAGTAATCAGCTGTAAATCGTAATCCCAATGGTAATTCGAAACTCATTTTACAGAGAATTGAAATGTGATTTTCATAACACATTAACATAATTAACAACGCTTACTTCACAAATCACCTTGAAACGTCTTTACTTATAGAGGCTTCAATAGCAGTAACACAAATAACAAAAAACAGAACTTTCTTTAAAGAAGCTGAATTTCTGATTTTTCTTCAAAATCAGAAATTCAGCTTCATCAGAGCAGAAATTTGAGAATTTTCGGTAGTATTAAAAAAGAAAAACACATTCGAATTCTGGTATTTAAATAAAATACAATTACTCCTGCTATTATTCTATGTAAAAAAAATAATAAAATTGCAGCCTTTAACTTTTAAATTCGACAAAAATTTTCAAAAGAGCTGCCGGAATTTCTACAATCCATTTTCGCTAAATCAGATTCATTCTGCATTCCTGTGGTTTAATAGCGCCGATAGTAGATTCATTCGATATTTTTTTTGTAATAAAATAGATCCTTCATAATTTTTTAATTCCATTATCCCGTTTCCCCACACATATACAACAAAATAAGATTCAAGGTTACTAGATCATGAAAACAATTAGAAAATTTAAAATGAAACTAATATTTGTGAAATTTAAGTTGCATAAGAAACCTTCATAATTTATTACGTCTAAATTAAAGGCTTACTTCAAGTGCTCTAATGAGTGAGGGTTCTTAGGTTTCCACATTCCGCCAGAAAACCAACCTTTACCACGAAACATAATTGCTAGAATACATTTAAAATATTAATAAATAATAAGTTAATTAAATTATACTCGAATATTCTGGCTAAATATAGATACAAAAATAAAAACACTTTCCTCATACATAAAACAACACAAAAAGTAAACAATCGATCACGATTACGGTTTACGAGTGAGAGAAAAAGGATGCAGAATCGTCATGTGCGTTCTAAAGTAAGCAGAAAAGTTGACTAATTGATTTAAGTCGCATTTTCACTGCATTAGATTCACACACCTCAAACCGCTACTGAGGATGAATGAGACCCTTTTCTCTAGAAAGAGATCGGAGGTGCGTGAATCACATTAAACTAAATCATTTCCCAAATTGAATTCATATTCAGGAAAATATTACTTTTTAAACTATTAGTTTCATTCAAAGTTATATGTTTTTTGCATTAAGGGATCATTCTCCTGGATCAGGGTGGATCTCCAAGGATCAGGGTGGTAAGATCACCCTGGAAAGAATATGAGAATCTGTGGAATAAATATAAACTTACCCGATTAAAAATAGTTTCCAAGATCTTGGGCTATACTTGAGCGTAGATCTACAAGTCAACTAGTAATTCATAAAGTAACCATAACATATTAAAGGAATGACTTATTTATATATGTCATTGACAGCTACGCTTGAACTTCAGATTACGTCGTTTATTTTTCGTGTGTAAAAGTGAATAAAATAAAAGTATGCAATACAAATTTGACTATAAAACTAAGCAAGTATTAAAACTATCCTTAGTATATATATATATATATATATATATATATATATATGNTTTTTATACCTCATAAATACCTCTTTTGATACAAGTGTAAGAAAAACAACCTGGTACACCTTGAAAACTACCTCATTAGTCTGGTTGATATGAAGTGATTTAAAAACAATCTCAAAATAAGCTTAGGTATAAATAAAATGACTTCATATACCTCAATAAATACCTCACTCTCTCTAATTGAAAAAAGATATATTTTTTTATACCTATTAAATACCTCACTCTCGTTAGTTGAAATAAGGTTGATTTTTTTATACCTCATAAATACCTCTTTTGTTACAAGTGTAAAAAAAACAACCTCGTATACCTTAAAAATCACCTTATCAGTCTGGTGAATTTAAAACAACCTCAAAATAAGCTTAGGTATAAATAAAATGACTTCATATACCTCAATAAATACCTCACTCTCGTTAGTTGAAATAAGGTAAAAAATTTTTCCCTCAAAAATACCTCTTTTGTTACAAGTGTAAGAAAATAAACCTGGTATACCTTAAAAATCACCTTATCAGTCTGGATGAATTGAAGTGAATTTTAAACAACCTCAAAACAAGCTGAAGTATATGTAAATCAACCTCGTACGCCTTAATTACAACCTTTACAAGGTATAATTTTAATTGCTGTTTTGTCTGCAACCTTAAATATACCTCAAAACAACTTTAATACCTCAAAAATACCTCAAATCAACCTTAAATATACCTTAAATTTTCGTAAGGGAAACTTACCCGATTAAAAATAGTTTCCAAGATCTTTGGCTATACTTGAGCGTAGATCTACAAGTCAACTAGTAATTCATTAAGTAACCATAACATATTAAAGGAGTGACTTATTTATATATGTCATTGACATCTAAGCTTGAACTTCAGATTACGTCGTTTTTTTTTTTTTCGTGTGTAAAAGTGAATAAAATAAAAGTATGCAATACAAATTTCACTGTAAAACTAAACAAGTATTAAAACTGTTCTTAGTTTATATATATATAATACTTTCTCTTGGTGCATATTGATTTTTTTTTTCTTAAATTGACATCTAATATTTATAATCAAACATAAAAAAGTGAAAGAAAGCGTGTATAAATGGATACTAGAACCTAACAATTTTGAATCGAAATCGATATATAATAATATAAGAACATATGTATAATAATACAATAGATATCTTTTATATTATTGAGGTTATAAATTGAAAGATGTGACAAAAAGCAAAATTTTAAAATTTTTGTTTCGAATCACATTACATGTAGATAAGGCCCAAAAATAAATTTTGCCTCGAATTCCCCTTTTTGTTGAGCCGGACCTGCTCTGAAACTACACAAATGTGATATTGTTAATTGTTAACACAAACATATTCATGTCTAGGCTAAAATCATTATACCACCCTGTTCCATGTTTCGTATTATACGTATAATACGCTTAAAAAAAGATTCTCGTCTCTGTTTTATTCTGGTTATGTTCGGAATTTCAAGAGGTCTTATTAATTGAACTTAATGTTTTGAGTATGAGTCATTTTTCTTATGGCAGCTATCAGGATATACTAGCAACCGCTACTGCTTAGGTTACTTTGGTCAAACACAAAAAAAGTTGTTAATTTTTGTTATGAACAACCAAAACAAGAAATGTCGGAGATTTTGGTTTTTTAAAAAAAAGTTTGTACTTTTTTTGAGAGTATTTTAATAGTTTTGGGTAATTGAAAAATTTTGCGATAGGTAACGATGGAGCTTTTTCAAACCATTGCTTTGAAGAGTAATTTGTTTACTTGTAACTTTCCATAGTGGACGAATCCAGTTGCGTTATAAAAAAGAAGTAAGTGTCAAAATATTGTCTTTAGTAACCTGTTACCTGTATGTGATAATTGTTTTTCAATTTTTTTCAGTTAAATTATTTTATTTATTTATTTATTTATTTATTTGATGGTGCATTATAAAGTATTCGAAAATATTATCAGTAAAATTAAGCGTGATAGAAAGGATATTCTTGTTCAAATAGGTCACAAGAATAACCACATGAATGAATAAATAAGCACATAAATTGGAACTAATTATAAAAGGTCAGAAATGGATGGTGTTTTCAATATAAATGTAAACAGCAGCGATATAACTCTGAAGTGTAAAATGTCGCATCTTAGGTTGATAAATTAATTCTTCTAGAAATAGAAAAATATATACTTGAGGTCACGAAATAATAACCTAAGGTAGAACATGGAACACCTCCGATTAATAAAAAATAACCTTTACAAGTGTCCTAAAATACACTTGAGGTTGATTTATAATAACCGGAAGTGTAAAATGGCACACCTTAGGTAGATAAATAAATATCTCGAAAACTATAAAAGTCTATACTTGAGGTTGAAAAATAATAACCTAAAAAAGAACATCGAACTCCTCACGTTAATAAAAAACAACCTATCCAATGGTAGAAAAATACACTTGAGGCTGATTTATAATTACTTGATGTGTAAAATGACACAAATAAGTTGATAAAAAATTCCTCTACAAGCATAAAAATGTATACTTGTGGTTGAAATACAATAACCTGAGATAGAATATAAAACACCTCACGTTAGTGAAAATTTACCTTTACAACTGTCAAAAAATACATTTGAGGTAGATCCAGAATAACCTGAAGTGTGAAACGAAACACCTTAGGTTGTAAAATAAATACTTCCACAGGTGTAAAAAAATATACTTCAGGTTGATAACCTAAGGTGGAAAACGAAACACCTTAAAGTAGTAAATATCTACCTCTCCACCGATGCAAAATGAAACAACTCAGATTGATACCCCTGGAGTTATATTTAAGGTATATTTGAGGTAAATTTTGATGTATTCATTTGCACTCTTTTAAACCTCATGACGTATTTAAATAACTACCTCAAAAATACCTCGATTTTTTCGTATGGGTATTCCGTGAGGCGATATTTTCAAACAGATAATTTTGTTTTTAACAAAAAGAAAAAAATTAAAAAAAAATGAATTATCTGATTTCTGAATCTGATGTATTTCATGAGATATTAATGATATTAAGTAATTCTGGGGAGTTTGAAGTGAAAATTTGCTTTAATTATTTAAAGATGTATAGTTAAAAAAAGTGACATGGTTGCCAGATTTGGAAAGAAGTCGCTTTTTTGGCAGTTCTGATTTGGCCTCTTTTTACTTGTTTATTACTGTTTGTTTTTGGTGCAAGCCGTGCACCATCATACGCTAGTGTTAGCATATTGTTCGAGCAACGAGATTAAGTTCATTTTACTAATTATCTTTTAGGTTTAAATTTCGAATATGGTAAATTATTGACGAGTTTTATAACAATTATTTTTTTTTTCAAATGACGATTCTTACGTCTTGAAATGGCAGGTCTTCAAATGGCGATTTTTATAACGATTCTTTTTTTAAACACAAATAATAAATTAGGTAACAAATACACGTATATAAGAAATATTACTCAAGAGAATCTCGAAACACAATGATCACATTGTGAGCCAAATGGCTTCAAAATACACCGGAAACAGTAACCTAGAAGTACAGGCAGTAAAGAGCTTGTAGTATAGAACACACTATCCATACTCAATACTTTCAGTCAGTTTTTTGAAATGCAGTGCAAGAAGAAACGAAAGGGGCCAAGCTGGCCCCATCCGCCTTTCTTGTGCTAAACTTAAGAATGCAGAATGTGTGGACACAATAAGAAATAATACATGAAAATTAATTTCACTCACTAGCAAAAGGTATAACGTTAACGTATATTTTACATTAGTTCGATTTGGAAACTGTTTTTCATCACTCTTGAGCCTCTTTATATTTTTGAAAATTTCAATAAAAATGTGAAGATTTATGTTTCGCAACATTTAATCACTCTCTTATTTTTTATTTTATTTACTAATTTTTCTTAAACTTTTATCATCAAGTAAAGTGCAAGCTCATAAAGTGAAAATCTAGAGGGATATGAATTCATTTTTCTATAGCAATGGATAAATAGTCATTATGAAAAGAAAAAAAGATCTAAAGAAAAAAAAATTTGAAATCTCAATAACTTTCGGACGCATTGGAATTTTGTAAAACAATCGCGTTTAACTCATGAATTAAAAAGGCATTTCAGCTCGTTAAAGAAGAGTAAATCAGCCCACGTTGTATTTTTTACCGCAATTACCGTCGTTGAACTGCTGACCCAATTTTGAGTTTACGACAACCAATGTTCAACTTCGCGGCCTTATAATTTTGAACCCTATCCAGAAGACAAGGAAATCCTGGATCTAGTATTGGGAGGTCTTTTCGTGGAGGACTTTTTGATGTAACTAACCTACCTTTGAGTTAAATGGAGAGGAAAGCCACGAAAACATCCCACGGCTAGCCTGACGTCAAGGGGACTCTAACCCATGATCCGTCTACCACTGTGTATGTTTTTACTTCAG